GGCATCAGCTTCGCGACAGGCAAAAAAACGAGCGCACAAGCGCGGACAGTCACGGCCTCGAAAAGGGGCGAACACTTAATGGGCACACCTTCCCAACGCGAAGAGAGTTGCACTTTTCAGCGAATTGCGAGGACTTCGCGCCATCTAATGGCGGAGCCGGGGTCTTGGGCACCAGCCTCGCGACAGGCAAACAAACGAGCGCACGATCGCGGACAGGCAAGGCTTGGAAACAAAGGAGGCGACTTCTTAAGGGGGAGCGTCCGAAACTCGAAGAGCGTCACGCGCCTAAGCTGAGTAGGGGCGAGAATAGAAAGCCGCAACTCCGTGGGACACTAATGGCGAAAAAGGCTTGCCACTTTCTTCCATTCGTTTCCTGTGGGCCCCAGTGGAGGGCGATCTAAGCCATACCGTTAAGGGCGGCGCCGCCCTCTTTCGGCGCCGGCGGGGAAGTCATTGGGGGCGCGTTTTTCTGTACGGAATCTCGTCGCGATTGGACCGGGCCCGCACTAGGTTCCCGGCCCTTCCGCTACCAGCTAGGCGACCCTGAAACCCGCGGGGACCCCACAGAGGGCCCACTGGGTTCCGCGGCTGCGGTTGCCAGCCTCGCAGAGCCCAAAACCCTGAGGAGCTCTCGGGAAGAACTCCCAGAAAGCCACGGCGCTGGAGGAAGGGGCCACGAGTGCGCGCCCGCTGGTTCGGTTGCCTGCCGCATGCTCCAGACCTGGCAGGCGGGCCGCGGGTAGTCGATGGCCATGGCGAGCCCGCGCGCCGCTTACGGTTTTCCCTGCAAAGAGCTACCGGGACGAACCCCGGGACGGCACGCCATTGAGGCAAAGGGGAAGGGCCACGCGTCCGGGCCCGCTGGCTCGGTTGCAGCCCTCATGCTCCGCGGTAAGTCAATGACGCACGCAGACGGCCTTCCGCTTGCTTCCTGTTCTCCCCAGCGAGCCGAGATAGCTGAACCCTTTTCCGCTTTAAAATGGCAGAAAAGCACGGCCATGCAGCTCGCCGCGCTTTTCCAACTCACGGCGGCTTTCCTTGCGCCGGCGCTGCCAGCCTTTTCCCTTTAGGTTTGCAATGGCTGCGCTACGGTGCAACGACCCACAGGGCCGCGGTTTTCTGCGACTTCACACCGAAAAAGCTTCGAAAAATCGACGGTCTTCCTGCTCCACTCGGGAGGCCCACGCCTCGATTGAAAAGCCTCGACCCGCGGCCCCGTAGGCCCCTATAGCGGTTCTTGTAGCCCCTACCCTGTTCCCCCGACCGCATCGAAGCTCCACGAGATTCCGACGGCGCCCGCTGTGGCCCTCTTGCTGCGCCCTGAAAAGACCACGGGCCCACGCCGTTAAGGGGAGCGTCGCCTCCTATACGTTCGATAGAGTATCTAGCGGGGGAGCCTACGGGGAAACTGCGGGGGATTCGGTTCCCTGTGCGGAACCTGCTCGCAAGGGACCCCGAAGCCGCTCCAGATCCCCGCCCTCGGCGACGAAAGCAGGAAGCTAGTTGGCGTCCCGCCGCACCCCCCCCCGAGGCTACTGCCCCCGCCAAGGAAGTTTGGAAACTAGAGGAGGCCCTGCCAAATGCGCCCGAGGTTCCGCGGCTTCGGATTCCGGTCTGCTGCTCCAAGTCGGGCAGCCGGTCCGCGATAAGTTGACGACTTTGGCGGAATGCCGCCGCCTGGATTCTCCCCGCAAAGCCTGAACTTTTGTCGGCTCTGCAGGAAGAACTTGCAGGAAAGCGGGGAATGAAACGGCCTTTTCCCTACGACCAACCGCGCACTTTTTCTTCTTGTGTTGCAGCCGAGGTCGTCTTCGCGTTTGTGTTGTAGCAGAAGTTGGCACTACGGCTGCCCCTGCTGCTCTTCGTCCTGGTGCTGCGGGTCTGACATTGCTGGAAGCATTATGGATGGAGAAAAAACATCAAGTGGTCACTTGTATAGCTATAGCTTGGATTTTGATAGGTATAACTTTGATTTACTTTTTTACAGAAGCGCGGAGCAGTTTCTTCAGCATTACATAAGACGCGGAGGTGTCTCGAGTGCAGTTTGTTGTCGTGTAAATGGTTCATGCACAGAAAAGTAGTTTCCGTCTGTTGGTCACGCACTGTCTGGTGTTCTAGTGTTCTATTGTCCTACCGCTCTTCCGTGTGTCTACTGTATGATCTCGGTCGAAAAGCGAATCGGTAGCGCTAGGAAGTGGACACCTATGGCGTGAAGATACGGATCCTAATGGGCGGCTCATGGAGTTATTGTTTTATTATTGCGAGAAAATGAGTTTAATGTTGCACCTTAAAAATTTTATTAATCAATCGAATACGAATAGTTTTCTTCACCTCATAATTATTGACAAAGGTAAATATCTCAATTGACACGCTCGTTGAAGCTAGTCATTCGCTCAAGCTATTGTTATAGTCTTTCAACGAGACTCCGTTTCTGTCATTAAAACGTTTCAGTAGCAAAAAACTTTCTTTGATGGATATATTTACTACCATAATTGAAATTCTTCTTCTTTGTTCCGCATCCATATCGTCCCACCTGTGGTTCGAACGACAACACCGAACACGAGCTGCGGTAAACAAGAAGCCAAGTTGTAGCGCTTGTTCGACCGATTCATTCAACTACGAAGATTCCCGCGAAGGGGAATTTTTTGTGCGTCAAATCTGAGGCATCCAAGAATATCTATCTCTTCCCGAAGAACTTCCATGATCATGGTACTAGAACGAAGCGAAACAATGTCGACAACGAGATCACTGTCACGTACTACAAGGCCGTCACTATTAGCACAACGTGCTCTAGTACTGCTAGTAGTAGAGCTAGTAGTTTTACTACTGCATGGTTCTTGTCGAGTGGTAGTACAAGGGGCTTTTTTGGACGTGAGGGGTCCCGGAGTGCAGCCTACAAAGCGATACCCCAAAGGCTGGCTCATGGTCACGCCAGCTTCTTACTCGGATTCACTCAGAACTCCTCTTGATCCACTTTATACAGAGCAGATCGATTTCCCCATCGATAATCCGCGAACATACTACGATAGCAGTAGCAGCAGCAACAGCACAGCGGATGAGGAAAGTAATGATATGAAATACAGGCAATGATAAAAATGATAAAACTACTCTTAGTACATGATCTGGGGAACAACTTGTAATTACTATGAAATACAGGTAGGCAGTACTCATAACTAGGTACATCAAGAAGCAATCCCAACATCCACAGTTCCAGAATACATGACCTTCAGAGTTGTAATATCCCACCATGACCAGCTTCAGGGATTTTTTTTGAATTTTTACTACGTAAGAAGGCTCCTCTACTAATTCCAGTCCTGCTTCTCTAGTAGAGGATGCTTCTACCGTAGGCGAGGGTAGTGCCGTGTGTGCGTCGAACGTGGTACCGGGCGAGGATGGTAACCGCAAGCCGAACGTGATAGTGGAAGATGATGGATCCAAGGAGCGTGCTGCGGAGTCGTACTATATTGGCGACGAAGTGGGGCCTGGAGGTTTCTACCCCATCTTTGAAAAAACACCAGAGGCAAAAAAAGAAATCCAAGCACTTCCTGAGTCCTCGAACAAAACAAAGTCTGCGGTGGAAGCTCAGGTTGCAACTAGCCTGCTTGCCGAGGATGGAGAATATCGGAGGGACGCTGATGATGACGCTTTAGGGCAAGAGTCAAATGGCTTTGAAGAAACGTCGAATGGCGATGATGACGCAATGTCTGTAGAAGAGTGGTACCACGAAGAGGCAAAAAATTATACTGCGGAAGAATGTTGTTCATTAAGAAAGTGTGAAAGTGTTGTCCTCGTCAGGTGTTGAAATTTTTTTAGAGTTTTTTTCCTCCAATGGAAAAAATGAGTAAGTGAAAAATTGAACACTTCTAAGCTAAGAAGCAAACAAGCGCGCAGACTCGCAGGACACCCAGACCAGCTTCGAAAGCTTGGATAGCCTGGAGGACGACACAGACAGGCGAACGCAGTATACAAGCTTAGAGGATGCTGCTCGCGAACAGCTGAAAGTAACTGGATGGAAGAACACATCCGCAGCAGAAGAAGATGATGATGTCTTCATCTTTCAACATGAGTACATGCAGAGACAGAGAGGCGCTAGTGCAGGAGACTTAAACGAAGTGTTCGCGAGATGGCGCGAACGGGCTCGGATTGCACGCGAAGTCTTCGGACCGGAGCTCGCTTTGCGACTAATGCCATATTTAAGATTGAGAACAAGTGTAATAAGCGTAGTGAGGTCTTATTTTTTATAAGAAGAGCAGCGCGGCTCTTGTGTAGTGAGACTTACGAAGAGCACTAATCCCGGATACAAGGTACCAGAGACTGCGTGATTGTTTTGCGAAAAAAAACACTCCCTTTCCAGAGCAAGATTTGAGAACAGTGTATGCGAAACTAAAAGCGCCTTTGCAGGTAAGCAAGGGAGGAGAAAAGGGGGGAGAAGATTAAGGCTTCCCCTAATGGTCCATCTCCAGAGAAGGCATCCTGGGAGAGAAGTTTTCAAGGAGAAAACGGTCTCGGAATGGTCTTCTAGATCGATCAGGGTGGCGAGCTTTAAGAAAAAGAGGAGGGAGAAGACCGCACGGAAAAGGAAGGGGAAGAACGCAGATTGATCCATCTGATAGAGATAGATCTGGATCGGACACACCTCTTGCAGTCAACTCGTGGCACTACAACAAGGACACCAAAGCCAGACGAGCGCGAAATTTTGCTCGAAGTTTTGACCGCCTACGTCCGTATACCCGACAATCCGGTTCCGTATACTTAAGTCCGCTACGATCATTATAAGTACCGTATACTCAAGGCCGCTACGATCATTATAAATTAAGCCTTGACTCCGCTCCTCTGCTCTAGACTTCATAGCGCTAGACATGAACATCAAAGTAGACTGAGTCTGGTGGAAGCCCAGCACATAAGAAATGAACCCGTCAAAGTAGACTGAGTCTGGTGGAAGCCCAGCACATGAGAAGTGTTCTCAACACCCAACAAGGCTGCTCTAACACAGGCAAGGGATGAACATGTTTCTTTTCATGCTGTACCTCGCTCTGCCGAAGTTCCATGACAATGAGGCCTATTTTTGGCTCTTTCTCTACTTCTTGCACCAAAAACGATTACTGGAAAAGCCTGCAGGTTTAGCACAAGAAGGATTAGCAGAAAAGCTCCGACAGAGGCTTACTCCGACAGAGGTCCTTACTCCGACAGAAGATCTTCATGGAGCGGTATTAGTACAACAAGAAAGTAGTGCTATTGGAGAAAAATTGTGGGATTCTGAGAAGACAATGGAAAGTGACCGTAGACTTCTAGTAGGCGAGAAACTAGTTCAAGGTTCGTCAAAATCGCCCTCAAGTCCATCGACAACGCCCTCAACGTTGTCACCTGTATCCTCACCGGCGTCTTTACCAGCGTCTTTACCAGGGTCACCAACATCTTATTTACCCGATACTTTACGTTTATCATTGTCCTCGACGCTTCAATGTTCCTCGCCATCCTTTAGATTGTCACCAAGAGCTGCTTCAACAGCACTTCTATCACTGTCGCCAAGTAGATCCTTGCCGTCGTCAAGAACTACTACAGTCACGAGGACATCACCGCCACCAAGGGAATCTCTTATTTCAGCCGGACCTGGATTACCACTAGAAGCCTCAACAAGGTCGCGATCTCTTTCCGGAGAACAAGATGGCATGAAAAATGACGTGAAAAATGCTGTAGTCGAACTACTGCTGGATCAGAAGTGGGTAGTAGATTTAAACAAATGCTGCGACATGGTAGCGATGGGCCTGTTTTCATCTATGGAAGAGACTACAGCCCCAAGACGCATTTTCGGACTGGGCATGCGTTACCTCTTTTCAGTTCCGGCGGAGTACGCAAGGAGGATCTTCTATTCGACATTGGCCTTTGGATTCGCTTTGAAGGGGGATGGGAGACTTATGGCAAGAGAAAACTGTCAGTCGTAGTCGTGGAATTATGTTTTTATTTCTTTAGAATTGAATAGAGCCTGTTTTGTCCCGGACAACGCGGCCTGGCCGTAGAGCCGCGGACCTTTAACCTTGAACCTTAAAAGCAAGTAGGCTTTCTTTGTGGTATCCTTTCCTTTTACCACGCCGCTCAATGAAACGCATGCGCTGCTGCTGTTTCGATTTATAATCTGCGTCAAATTTTATACTAACAAATATACCTTCTAACTTACTAAAAGCTCCTGCGTTAGACTCCAGTTACAACAGTTATCTCTCTGGAGGTATTCCGAACGATGAAAAGGATCGAGGTGCCATCTTCCGCAGAACGATTCGACTCGCTGCGTCAGACTGGCTTAGTGACGAAGAACAACATGTGAGCATTTTGATGGGTCGGATCTTCTTCGGTACGTTTGCACAGTTGATGCCCCACGATCTGACTACACACTTGATACTGTTATGGGGATTCACCTCAAGACAACACACTGTTTTCATCGGATCCTATTCCATTTGATACATGATCTAATACCCGACAAAGCACTGAGACAAGGAAGCTACGAACGCGTCTACGTGGTGGCGACGCTCGCTCTCTTCAATCTACTCTACGATTACTTTGTCAGTGCGGAAAACACAGAAGGAGGTACTTCAAACTATGATTCGATACGATTCAATTGTTGAGTTGTAGTCGTATTTATCAATGCGGATCATCGCTCAGGAGTTTTTTTTTAGTTATGCTTGCCGTGTAAGACTTTCTCATCGTGACTCACGATGAATCTAAATATTTTTCTCAGGTGGATCATCTAATTTTCAGGCTCCTCTGACGCGCTACTGATGCTTTTTCATGACCCCTGGAAGAAAGCTCTGCAATACGTCACCATAGAGGAATTTATGGAAGCTTGACTGTACTAGATGGATTTTTTTTTACTACTCGTACACTGATTCCTTTGAGAAAAGGGAAGAATGAGTCGACATTTATCAAAACAGATTTATAGTTTTGACTCAAAAAACCCTATCGAGATCATTCTTAGTTGATACTCTACCGAGAAGAACTTCGTTCCTATGCTTGTCAGGACTTGATGCATCATCATCAAGATGAACTTTCATAATCTGGGTCACAGCTATCGAAAGTGCGTGGACTCAGTTGGGCGGGGAAAGCTTCGGCATCGAGCTATTCCGAAGTCCACCTTTACTTGGTATGGCAGGTTAAAAACAAGATGTTGACGGTGTTGACTGGAGAGTTGTGGTCTCATTAAAAGTTGTAATTGGAGGTTCTACTACTATGTGACTTCTAGGCCTGAACAACGACGCACAAAAAGTTGATCGATTCATGAAAACTGCAAATCATAGAATCATAGGGACTACGTCTTTTCACAAGGAAGCGTGCTTCAATCGTTTTCCTAGAAGTGCCGAATTAGTTCCACTTTTGCTAGTCTCTGCTCTAAACGCTCAGCTGTTGGAGGCACGAATCCGTATGCGGCAGACGCTGCGACTGGGATCGATTTATCACGCATGCAGATTCTGTATGACGTAGAGCGCGGAGCTCGGGAAGATGAGGTAAGGACTTAGCGAAACGAAAAGCTGGTAGTTTCATCTGTAGTTTCTGTTTTCTATCACTGAGAACTCGATGAGGAGGTGTTAATCATCGTACTTGCACTTTGCGGGAAGCATTTCTTCTAGGATGCGCATCACCCAGGCTTTCATCACCTCTCTTCTAACACAAACGGAGGAAGTGAGCGGTCTTTTAAGCCGGTCCCGGTTCCCGAAGCTACTTCGATCCAATGGATGGAACAGTTTTGTCAATAGCATTTTTTGAATTTTCCTAGTAAATGTGATTTTCATCGTCCTCTCTCGAAGATGAACTACTTGAAGAAGATGATTTTCTTAGTACCTCCTAGAATGAACAATACTTTCGATATTATGAATCCTTGTCATAGATCTATTTGCTTAATAAAGATTTGATTTTCCTAGGTGTCATTTTTGATGAATACTTTCATTACCAGTTGTTGTCTGTTACCATTGAGCAACAGGTTGTCCTTGTCGACTAGAGTCTCCAGAAGTGAAATATATGTATCAAGTATATCTTTTACTATCTAGTAATCTGAATCTAGATCATCTGAATCTAGTAGACCACTTTGCAACCGATGATTGATTTTTTGTTCATACCCGATCGAACTTTCGACATCATAGGGAAATGCTCGTTACTGTTGTCTGCAATAGAACATTTTAGCGAACAAACACATGGAGCCATTTATTGCTGAAGAATCCTACATCGAGTCATACTACTAGTGCCTGACTGAGTTTATGCACATTCACACAGCAATCGACGGAGATGAAAGACGGAGAAATTTGAATACTATTCGACTGTGATTGTTGTCGCAGAAGACTCCGTGCATGTGTTGTTGTTCGACAGGCCTGCACTCAATATTCGAAGGTCTCGCATAGAGACAAACACTCGATGAGGCTTCGTACCAACACCGGATGTGTGTGTTGAATCACGATTGTGTTCTCTGTCGCCGACCGAGTGGGGAGAACAATAGTTAAAAAAACGAGCAAAAGTCCGCCTTTATCCGTTATTTGCAACTCAAAATCTAGCACTTCTGTCGCCGCTTGCATCGAAATTGAAGCACGAGTGCACCTAGGTCTGTATTTTACTAAGACGGAGAAAACCTAGACTGAGAGAAATCCAAATACATCGTCTGCGTGTGTCTAACTTATCCTCCAAGAACCTGCTGTATGACTTAGAAAAGATGATACTCGTCTTGATGTCGTAGCTTGTTCCGTGTAGCGGCGTTGTGTGAATATAAGTACTGCAAACCAATGTTGATAAAAGAAAGGATTAAGCCTACGACCACGAGCAAGAATAAGATGAATGAAAAAATCATGTTGTGACGATCGTGTCATAAGTCACGCGGCGCCCTGAGCGGCGCAGCTCTACCTCTCCGACAATACTATCCACCGAGTAGCAGCCGACAACGAACTTTTCCACGACGACAGATAGTTCCTTTGAAGAACCCACAAAAGATAGAAGCAGCGACAGTTTCGAGTACGCGAAGGAAGCAGTTGATATCAACTGCTACTCATCAACAATCGCGGAGCACACAGCTACGATTCAACTGTCAGCTAAGAACCGTGCATATCTTCGTCCAGCAGAACTTCTTTACCAGAGTGGAGACAGGAGACCACCAATCGTCGCTTAGGGACCCTAGGTGATATACCTTAGAAGTCAGAGCCACGCTTGCTTCTTCGAGTCGTCCGCGAACGCTAGTAGACTAGTAGGTCGAGAATTTAGTACCTGCCTCTTCGCATTCGAGCATTTAGTACCAGTGAACTGCTGAGTTTGCCTTATCGCGACTGACGAGCAAGTAGCTAAGGAGAAGTAATACTAGTCACGACTGCGGACAACTGAAGAGATAGAAGGTACTGCAGCCCCCGCTGCGACCTGTCCTCCCTGCGTCATCATATCACTGCAGCGATATCGCGCTTGGGCAGACAAACTTGTTTCGATAACGAACAAAAGACCTTCATCGCAACACCTTTGCCTCTCTGTCCAACTCGGATACGACGTGGAGATAAAAACAGCTAAATAAGCATAGAAGACTTCTCAACAGAAGTCTCGAAGAACGAAAAGATGAGTGAAGAAATCGACAGGCACATCTTGCGAAAGTACGATGTCGTGCAAAAGCTTGGGAAGGGCGCGTACTTTTACTATTTTACTAGTAGAGAGTAAATGTAGAGTAGATGTAGATCAGGATCATTCAATAAATTTGTTTGTGAGAAATACAGAAACGACGAATAGTATACTTACAGTGAGTATACAACTATCATTAAACAACAGGTACGGCATCGTATGGAAGGCAATTGACAAGAAAAGTCGAGACGTAGTTGCGTTAAAAAAATGCTACGATGCTTTCCAGAACGCCACAGATGCCCAGAGGACGTTTCGGGAAATCATGTTTCTGCAGGGTATTCTAATTCTTTAGAAATCTTCAATATTATATCTTGAGAACCATGACGACTACTGCAAACATTATACTTCGTCAAAAGAGCCGCTTCATCCAAAATTCCACAACAAATTTTCGCAGAACTCTCCGGACACGAAAATATAGTACATTTGATCAACGTCTTGAAAGCGGACAACGATAGGGATATCTATATCGTCACCGACTACATGGAGAGTGACCTCCATGCGGTGATAAGAGCAAACATTTTGGAGGAGATACACAAGCAATATATCATGTACCTTTTTATTTGAGCATGGATAAGGTCAATGTAGATTGTTGGGAAGTTTTCACATCAAGATGTTTTCTTCATTTCGCTGGATATGACATACTTTGGTAAAACAAGAGCAGCAACAACCTTCTTGATAGACTTGTTGGGACAAGCACCACCGAAATTTTTCCTCACCCTCAACAACTATCAGATGGTTCAACCTCAACTCTTGATCCTCAACAGCTACCAAATGCTTCGGTGTTTGAAGTACATGCACACAGGGAAAATGCTTCATAGGGACATCAAGCCGTCCAATATCCTGCTCAATTCGGACTGCCTTGTCAAGGTACTAGATTTGGTCATGAACAAGGTGTTTCAGATGTTGATCGCTGTGTTAAAAGTGAGATTGTCATCGTCATCTTGTCTCCTTTTCCTCTGCCTAGTACAACGAGCTCTAATATAATGCTCATCCCGTGGCCGTCTTTGTTGTATCTTCCAGTTCCATCTTCATTCCTAAAAACATGATAAAGGTCTGCGATTTCGGTCTAGCACGCACGGCTTCGCAATTGACGCAGGAGAATAGTAATGCGCCAGTGTTGACGGACTACGTCGCAACTAGATGGTACAGAGCGCCAGAGATCTTGTTGGGAAGCACCAGCTACACTTAAGGCTTCAGCATCACTTACAATTAGTCCTGAAGATGAGAGGCATCTTGGAGATGCCTTGGGTCCCAAGGGGAAGGAGCGCCAAAGATGCTTGCTCTCCAAGTGATGAATTTGAATTGAGGTCGTAAACTCTAATACACCTATGGCGTGGATATTTGGGCAGTCGGGTGTATACTGGGAGAGCTGCTGAATGGGAAGCCTATCTTCCCAGGAAGCTCAACTATGAATCAACTGGATAGGATATTAGAGGTACTTCTTACACATGATGATTACAACTTGTAGACTTGTAGGCTGTAGGATAGGATACTAGAGGTACTTACACATGATGATACATGAACTTGTAGACTGTAGACTGTAAGACCACTGCAGGATACTACACTGTAGGATAGGATATTAGAGGTACTTTTACATGTAGTGTCTCACAGCATCTTGTTGCACCACGATTTTAGGTGACCGGCAGGCCATCAGCAGAGGACGTTGCGGCGTTACAGAGTCCATTTGCTGAAACAATGCTCGAGTCTCTTCCAAGCAATAGGCATAGGACACTAGACACGAACCGATTCAATTAAGGCTTACCACCACATTGCATCCTGCACTAGGATCCTAATGTTAGCTTGTTTTTCGCTGGGGATGATCTGCGGTAGGTAGATTTCCTTCCACAGATCATCCTTTCCGCTTGGGAAAGAAGTCAAGCAGGATGATCTAGAGAATGCAATGCGGCAACCTCTAAATTCAAGAGATGTTTCCATCGGCGAGCCCAGAGGCTTTAGGCTTCTTGAAGGAGTGTTTGAGGTTTAACCCACAAAAACGAATTTCCGCCGAAAAAAGTCTACATCATGCGTACTATAGTAGATGATTTGTGAGCAAGGAGGGAATTCCTTCAATAGAGAATCATCATCCTACACTCCAAATGTAAATTTTGGACTAGCGAAGGTTTAGGTCCAGCGACGCTCAAAGCACTTAAATATACAGCCGGCTTGTTTTCCTCTTTCTACTTTCAGGCTATCCCTTCATGCTAATCCTTATGTAAATTTTGGAATCCGAAAAGGGAAGAAACTTCAACCGTTTCAGCTGCCATCGATCCTATCAATGTTATCCTAACAGGTACGTAGCCCAGTTTCACAACCCCAGTGACGAGCCAAATTGCCCAAAGCCAATAGCGATCCAGTTGGATGACAACACAAAACTGGGTGTCTCAGACTATCGAGACAAGCTTTATCAGGAGGTCATAAAACGGCGGAAAGAAGACCGAAAGGATCGACCACAGAGCAGCTATGATGGGTATTGTGATTTAGATGACTTTATAGGAGTTATGATATTTTTGGATAGGAGAAACTTGTTGAGGTAGTGGTTTACAAATAAGGACTTATCGATCATTGCTAGCTCAGAAGTTCCATGACAGAAGATTACTTATCATGTGGACCGACCCTCAACAATGAAAATATGTTAACTTTCCACAAAAATCAACACGAACAACAGCAACGGCGGTAGCTCACAGGCAAATGGTAGGCCTAGCAGCCAGGCTCAGCGAAAATCTAGTTCTAGTGATTGGGATAAGGTGGAGAGTAGGAGTCAGCCGGGTCGCTTTTACTACGTGAACAGACGCACCGGCGCCAAGCAATGGGAACGACCCGAAGGGCTGTAGAAGGAGCACCTTTCTATCTCTTCTAGTAAAGCTCCCTTCTAGTAGAGGTCGGAAGTAGTTCATGCGATTCGGAAGTAGTTCATCTGGTTGGAAGTGGAATTCGTGTTGGCGAGGGTTCTACATTGCCTCGTTGAAGTACATCGCCTCGTTGAAGTACTACTATGATTTCAATCGAAAGTAGACTACTAGTACTAGGTTCGTCGATGGCAGTGCTCTATCTTCGAGGCAGTAACCGGCAATACTGTGGGAACTGTTTCGAGGCAGCAATGGAAGGGAGTACTCCCGCTTCAGCAGGATTCTCGCCTCCATTGATTTGCTGCCGATGTACTTCAAGCATTTTGATGAATTAGGTACCGTTTCTTGTTTGTTATTTGGAATGCTATTTGTTCAGTTGACTCACCCAGTTCGTAAGTATGCCTTGTGTTATGCAGATGTCTACAGTTATTTATCTTCAATTTGTGGTTTAGACTTTTTATCAATTAAGAAAGTTCCTAGGATTGAGTTCCTCGTAGTCGTGTGGTTCTCAAACGGCTCCTAGTAGTTTGTGGTTCGCTTACACGTGTGTAGATTTGGGCTCCTAGACTTTTTTTTACGAAATTAGAGAAACTCAAACGAACTTCCTAATTAAAAAGCGTTAGACGACGAGATCTGTAACAAGATCTGTAAAAACAAGGTCTTTCTGTATTTTTCTTCTAGTACTTATATTCTTCTGCGGAGAAGGGCTCTGCAGATGACAGAGGCAAAGACCTCTTCTTAGTAGTTGTCTGTTCGTATGTAACAGCTGACCGAAATAGCTCAGCAAGGACTATATCAACCAAGGGCACCGGGATATCATCTACAACTACGAGGACGACTGTTGTAGTTTCGTATTTAAGATATATCTTCATCGGCTGTCAACACTATAGACACTAGTGGTCTTCACATTTTACATTTTTTTGGCTTGTTCATTGGCTAATCTCATTGACTATCAACCAAGCTAGTAGTCGTACTTAGGGTAGTCGTACTTCATAATGCTATTTGTAGTTTTTTACCGTTGTGGCAATTGTCTAAAAGTGACTATCTCTTATTCTACAAGTGAGGATCATGATCTCAATCTATTGTTAAAAAACAATAAGAATGAGCCTTTCTCCTGATTTGTTGTGCTCTGTCCACGTTAGTAAGAAGATGTCCGTGTTAATAGTATAATCATATGTAGTTGAACACGAAATGTATCAAGCTTTCCTGGTGACCAAAAGTGTATCGAATTTGTTGAAATGTACCAAGCTTTCCTATCCATTGCGCTTTTTTCTAAACGAAACTGAATGAAGGAGTGAGAGATCAGGACCATAATTCTTGCTCAAAAATGCGAGAGAACAAACGGAATTATCTCTCTCCACGTGCGGATGCAGATTTAAAAGGTGGCAATAAGGTGGCTACAAACGAGCAGCACGTGGTGAGCAACGAGGAGAGCAGCAGTCACGCAGACGGCGGCCTTAACATGTCTGTATACATCTTTTTGTGGTTTCGTTTCTAGCAATTTAGCCATCTGTTGAAAAATTATCGGTATGTTGAGTAGCTTTCTCTTTGTGTCTGTGAAATGTCTGCGTTCTCTGCGCCCACCGCTGCTGGTGCGTCGAACTAAATCGCAAAATTTGTAATTTGTAATCTGCGATTTTGAGATCGGTGAGCTGAAAGATCGGTATGCAGAACTGCACGAGCAGTGAGTAATCTTCTACCATAGATCCTTGTCATCTCAACCATGCACTTCACTCTGAATTGTGAAATATTCTTCCAGAAGGAATCATCCGAGTCCGCACCACCTACAACAAGTAGGACATTAGCAGTTTGTGGTCCGTAGTTGATTCCTTAAAACCTCAGAGCAACTTCGTTCATCATTTGTTTTTGTCGACTAAGTAGTATCGCCATAGATGATTTCTTGTTACGTAATCTGCAACATCTACAACCATAATTAACCTTGATAAGTAGCGATGACGCTATAAGTACATTCACTGTAAACGACACACAAAAAGACAACCACCAAAATGCCCTCTTTGATCGCGCCACCACAGATTGAGATCTTACCGCCAATCTCCGGCATCCCAGAGTCTGGTGGACTCGTGGATGCTGCTACTAATATCGAAGATACAGTACCAATTGGGTGCAAGTGCGCGGCGAAACGGGTATCGGTTCCACACTTACCTATCCAACACCAACTGGCCAGAGCAACCAAAGGGTTTTACATTACTAGGCAAAGTGCAGGCGATTTGGCAGCCTTGTCAAAAGAAGGAGACATAAAAAAATTGGCAAAGCGGGTCGGGGAGTATGGTATTGGTTGGGAGTGATTTACTTGGAGAAAATTTTATGTTTGGTATTCTTGTCCTTTTCATTTCAAAGTCACATTATCGTAGTTTACCAAGAAACAATGTATCGTATGGTGCACACTTGTCCTCGCTCGTGTATTTATGCCACCAACCTATGTTTTTCCACCTCACCCCTCCACCAGCCCACGACCTAGAATATCTCGGTCGCAGCATGGCTGTGGTACTGAAAATGCCTGTCGCTTTGAACCCGCCTTTTTTGCCTATGGACATGGAGATGCCTGGCAAGGGGACGAAGGGATTAGCGGAAGACGCGAGTGCAGAAGGAGATACAGGACAGGAAGGAGAATCTGAAACCCCTGATGTGAAGAGCTCTACGATGGTCGGACCGGCGTTAGCCTCGACGATACCTGCGTTAGCTTCTACGATACCTGCGTTAGCGTCTACGATACCTGCGTTAGCGTCTACGATACCTTCCACAGCCTCGACCATGGTGTCTCCATGGTTCAGATGGAAGAGAAAAAAGAGAAAAGATCAATCAAGATCTTCAGTATTTTTGTAACGAAAGTAGTACGTAAAGTTCCGATCTGCAAGTTTCAGTTTGGAACTATGAAAGAAGAGACGGGAGATCCTAACTTGTGATCTTAGTCGCAACGTTCTGTGCACATGGATGTTCTTTGCAGATCTACTGCTGATCATGATATGTTTTCATACGTTGTTCAGATCCAAAATTTATTACACTGTCTTGCCTTTCTTGCCTTTCCTTGCGTCGACTGCAGATGATCATGGTTCAAGATCACTGATGTGTTGGGAGGACCGATCACTCCAAAGAAAATGCATGATCCCCTGTCGTGTTAGTGATCCCCTGTCGTGTTAGCGCGTTGGCTCTTAATGCCTTGATCTCTGTCACAGTGTGATAACAGTTTTTTACTCGTCTTGTCTTACTTGCCTGCATTTACCGTTAAACAGAGAAGCGAAGGGAATTTGAAAGGACCACGAATTCGAAGATTATTGTGATTGATGATTTTCTGACACAAGAACTGGGATTTTATCTGTATCATACCTTGAAGACAGAAATTACTTTGAACTCGTGAAGGAAGGTCACGACAACGAGAAAAGATGCATAAGGTTAACAAGAAACCTCCGCCTGTTGCCAAGAAGGCACCATCATCTTCATCTACTTCCGCAGAGGAGCAGAGCAGTTCTACTACTTCTACCACCCAAGCAGCTGCAGAAAGCTCCAACAAGTCTGTCCAGGAGGTCACTTTAGATCCGAGTACTAACCAAGTCATGGTAGATGGTAAGCCTCTCCCAGCTGGTAGCATCGAGAATTTGGACAAGGCTTTTTCCGCTCTTCCAGGGATGAACGAAGACGAAGAGGACGAAGAAGAAACACCTGAAGTTATGGAAACGAGCAATGAGATAGATTAGCTAGGATGTCTTCGTCTCTGCTCTCTCAGTAAATATATATAATTCTTTGCTGACGTTGATATCCAGTCGTGTCAGATTCAAGGAAGAAGTATTTAGAAGTCTACATCAGAATGGAAGCAGTATTTAGAACGAGTTCTCTTACTTTCACAGTACTTCTTACTTTGCATTATACTTCAAGCATGATACAGCTACATGGTATTGTTAGCGACTTATCTCTAATCCCCAATGCTTCGTGAACGACGCTCGATTCGGTGAGCTCGAGGACATCAAACTTGTTCTCGCAGACGAGGAAGCAGCCTCTCACCTCATCAACGCCCAGATCGAGCCTAATGGTAGCACAGCTTTGATGATGGCCGCTGCAAATGGGCATGAAGAAGTCGTAGAAGCGCTGCTGGCTTTTCGGGGGAAGAATAGAGTTGCCGCAAATCTGTTGCTTCAAAATAAAGCTGGCAATACTGCCCTTCATTGGGCAGCCATGATGGGAAGGAAAAAAGTAGCACAACTTCTTCTCGAGGCAGAAACTGGATCTAAAATATGCTCTAACCCTGCTGAGCAACAACAAGACTCATCTTCGTCTGCCGCATCTTCAACATCTTCTGAGTCGGCAAACATGTTTAACGAGGCCAAAAGAAAGCCATTTGACGAAGCTCAATTGAAAGGTTACAGTGCACTCTGTGAACTGATTGCGCCGTACACGAACTTCGAGTACTGCTCACCTGAGCCGGATCCGGAGACGGACAGAAAATACGGATTGGGTGGTGCATGATTGTGTGGTGCATGAACGTGTGGTGCATGAAGAAGATCTGCTTAGAAGACTGAGGAAATAGTTGATAAGGATAAGCAGAATCATTAAACATGTTGAAGTTGAACGTCTACGCCTAACTTTCTTTCATAGTTTGTTGCTTAGAACGAAGTTGAAGTACAATTAAGTACTTACACCTGCTTTACACTTTTGTGTGGCATGAAAAATGAACAACGTCCCTGTTCCTTGCATTGATGACGCTTATAATGATTTCAACCTGATAGTAAGGAAAACCCACGTACCACCCAAAAAATACAAGGCTGAGAGAGCATAAGGCTCACACTTTCATCCAGCATGCGTTCAATTGCAAGGGCTCCATTGTGTGCAATGTCTTTGTGGACGCAAATCAGTAAATCGAGTGGTGCTTCAATAGTAAAGAGACAATATTGCATATTCTACTGAACGAAGCAACAGTGAGCGAATCTTAGAATTATGCAGAGACTGACAGATTTATCCTTTTGAATTCAGTAAAGGTTTTGTACAGAAAACGAAAATGTTAGTGTCGAAAAGAATGTTGAGGTTACTGCTTTATTCCAGTACGCCTATCGTGGTGCCGACTTCCGCGCTCCTGACGTTGAAGAAGCATCGTCAAGATCACCATGCGGCAACGTGTGCCAGACAATCGCCTATTAATTTCGACGCGCGATGGACTCAAATGGCGGAGCCGAGTGGGCTAGTTGGTTTCTCTTATCCGGTGATAACGAAGGAAATGCAACTACGCTGGACAGGCGGCGAGTTGCGAGCGGCGTTGCCGAGTGATTATGTTTTTCTCTCTGTAGTACTTCTCACTCCTTATAAATATTATAAGTAGGTCTCCTCGCTTTACTTAACCACAAATCAATCCTTATAAAAAGTACTAGGTCTCCTCGCTTACGCTTCAACCGCAAGCACAAAAGTCTCTAATTCCACTACCCCGGTTTCATTCTCCTGGAAGACGGTACGCGAGTCCCAGCAAGTGAGATTTTGCTCCGCAGTCGTAGTGAACATCAGCTTGAGGGCGAAAAGTTTCCTTTGGAAGTGCAGATTTTGCACCGCGTGCCTGGAGGCAGTGGAAATGCAACTGATCTTCAGTATGCTGAAGGAGTAGAGTATGATGTTGACGTTGTAATGATGAGATGTTCTTGACGTTGTAACAGAAATGGGTGTAGTAGCTGTAGGTAATAGAAATGGGGACCCAAAAGATAATGAAAAGTAGCAGTGTGGTTTGTATTAGAGACCAACGTCTACTTACGGTGTGTTTTGTAGGGACTGAATGAAACCTCCTAATACAAGACTGCATACTTCTGTTGCTTTAAGAACCACCGAAGCTTGGACGTACTCCTTCAACTGTTGGTGTGAGTCTCTTCGTAGATGCGGGTGGGGCAGTCGACGCAGAAGCTTCATTTGTAGCGAAGGACTCAAGTGCGACGGACTACGACTCCAATTTTCAGCGTTTCATCGGAAAGTGGCCGATGGTTCCTTAGGATAGACTGCTGGGAAGAAAATTTGAAACGAGCTTCTGATAAGGTTGGTTTGAAGAAAGGAGGGCTCTTTCTATTCACTGAGTAAAACATGAGTAAAAACTTCTTAATATGACCCGTCCCACATTGAATTCTTAGGTGCAAATGCACTAGATAGGTTTTCTTGATTTCACAGCTTCATACCCTAGCAGATCCAGCGCCTTTGCCGAAGCAAGACGGTTCAATAGTAACAAAGACCGGTCTTGACCTTGCTGCTGGCCTTGGTTTTTCGAACCTCGCTGAAAATCTCCCCTCGAACCTCGCTGCTGCAGCGGCGGCACTTCCAGTAGCAAAACAGCTACCGAAGCCAAAGCACATGTCGTATATCCGATACATTGGAAGCACACCCTCAGCAAAAGCGGGCGTCTGTGATCCCGTGTTGTGGTTTGTCCGACGTGGGGCGCCACACATGGTTGCAACCTATCAGTTGCAGAACGTTGCGAACTTGATTTATGATGACGCACGAGTTGAGTACTTTTATAAGGATTAGGATTGATTTCTTTGAATTTATTTGGTGCGAATTAGGATTACGTAGGTAGCAGAGAAGAACCATAACTAGAATCCGCAAGTACCGTTTCGTTCTCCCTCTTCTAATCACTCCGACTCTTGAATGGTGGAAGCGACAAACCAACAACATTGAACCCTTTTGGGCAGGATCGAGCTGTTGCGGTGTTGTCAGGACTCGATTTGGAATCGCCAGAGGATGCTCAGGAAATGGTGGATCGAATCGCTTTGCTTATGGTGAGGTTTTATCTTACTAGTACGGAATAGAGTGATACCTACGAGTACGATCAAGAGTGACATAATGAGTGAACCTTTATAAATAAGTAGACACCAACATTGGATTGCAAGTATTCGTACCTACCAGGATCCTCTTTTCTTCGAGGAGTGAATCATAGTATCGAAAGCGTCATTTTCCCACACTTCCTTGTCCTTGTTTCATGTCTCTTGGTGGAAAAGACGCTTCGTATCAGATGATGCCTTGGGGCAACAGTCCTCGAACGGACGGGGAAGCACGTGCCATCAAACTCGCAAAGCTAGCAGAGAAGTCTGCTAGAAAAGTCACTCAGTACGTCAAAGAGGTGCGCGACTTGCATCTCCAAGCCGCAGAATCGTACAGGGATCAAGTATTGCAGGCTCAGTGAGGAAGAAGGGGACGAAGATAGGGACGATCAAGAGTAAAATGAAGATAGTTTCTTCTGTTGTACAGTGAAAGTTTAGGTACTAGAAGTGGACGACGATTTTATTTTATTTTTTTCCAGGAACGCGAAGACTATGTTGAACAGTCTGTTAGAAAAATTACCTCAGCAGTGATTTCGACGTTGTTGAGCCAAGCTCCGACAGGACAAGAAGGATGCTCATCTCCACGAATGATCTGTTCCGAGGAAGGTTGGTCTCACCCACAAACCGACTATCAAGATTCCACGAGGATCCTCATTTACTGTCTTATAAAAGAACATGATACAACAGCGCTCACGCTGTTGATCAGGCAAAAACATGACCAAAAAGGTGAAAGGCCTGCACCCTTCTCGTTTGCTCCGTGTGCTTTCTTGGCTTTGGGTGTTCACCTGGCCATGCCTCGCAGCCACCGAAGATGTGGCAGGGGAGCATCTGCACGTCTACACCATTGGGACTCGGATGAACCCTTTGCTATTCTACCTGCAGCACAGTGGAGAAATTTATGACTGTGGGTGTTGTATTCCATATAGGAGCTCATAGGTATTTTCTTAGTTGCATCGGAGTTGGCAACGAATGTTCCGCCACGGTCCTTGTGGCCCAAGGGGAGGGCCATTTCGGTATATTTCTAAGCTTCTGCGGCAAGTGCTACACGACCCGGGGGGCGGCAGGGTGGCGGAAGTGGCGGCAGCGCTATCCGCGGGCAAAGCGGGCGACACTGTCAGTGGAATGGGTGGAGGTCTGCAGCCTGATGGCGCGAGGGGCTGCAGCTCGCAGCCCCTGCACAGTGCGCAGGCGGTCACGCCTGTCCAATAGAAGGACAATGCGGGGGGCGCGCTGGGTGTCGGTGCCCAGGCTGACGCGCCACCCGTATGAGCCCCCCAAACAATCGACAGCATTGCGCACAGGCGCGGGCCAGTGGAAGCGCCAGGCCTGTCAGGCGGCGAATTCTCTCAACTTCTCAAACGTTCCCACGAAGGCGCCGAGAAGCGCGCACCATTATGCGCTTCGGGCTCGGGTCACCTTGGGCGCGGAGGCCTGCGCATTGCGCCGCCGTGGACGCTCCCGACGAGCTGCCGCGTAGCTGTGCGTAGTTGTCGCGGGTCGGGGTGTGTTTCTACGCTAGCAGGGAGCGCCACATGCGCAACCGCGGCTGCAAGATTCGCGAGCATCCCGACCCGGGAGGAGATGGCGGCCCAGAACCTAGCCCTTGCGGCAGGCTCGGCGCTAGGAGGTGGCCACCGTATAAATAGACAGCCCTGACGCCGAAGAAGTGCTGCTCCCGCGGACTGAAAGAGCCTCGGGCTTGTACCGCGCTCGCATCTCACGGCTGTGGCGTATTTGGTGAATCAGTACCCGCCCCGGCAGGTCATTCGATCAAAGTGCCGCCGCTTTTCTCAGCGTGGCTGCCTTTTCTCATGTGGAGCTGAGGGGGCAGCGATTTCGGATAGCCCGCCGCGATTCCATGTCCCAAGCCTCGCAGCCAGTCGCAGGCAAACACCCGGCTCGCTGTCGTGTTATTTTTTTTGCTTTTTTTCTAGGTGGTCTCTTCTGGTGGCTCTCTCCACTGTCCTCCCCGGTTCTCATCCTTTTCCCCTGGCGGTGTTGTGGGACAGGGCGTCGACGCTACGTGAGCGGCAGGTCGTCCCCCCCCAGTTTTTCTCTTTGTTTAGTTAGGAGAGGTGCCATTGAAGCGTCTTTTACCGCGCGTGTATTCTTGCGTTGTTGCTCTCTCGTCTCTGCTCTAAGATTCGCACAATATAGCAGTTTTACCGCGTGGAATGGGCGACCCAATACTCCAGAAATGGAGTCGAAGAGCCCTGCAGCAAAAACTAGTCTACCACATGGACGAAGCGGTGAAGAGTAAAGGTACCTGCTGCACTAATTGAATTTATGTTGAAGTCAATGGGGAGTACCTAGTACAGCATGGTTTCAGAGTATAGTGTATGCTGGAACTATGGTGGTGGTCAGTGTGAAAAATTGTCCACCATATCTATCATGATCCTCTACATCATGATTCACCTCCTCAGATCGTACGATCCTCCTCTTCGTGGATGCGTACGATGTCTTACTGGAGGCTGGAAAAACAGCGATACTAGAACGCTTTCGCAACCTACAAAAGAAAGCGCCCAGTTGTAAGATCTTCTTCTCAGCAGAGGAGAACTGTGGGTCTGCCTGTGAAGCGAAGTATCTTGGCGCTTACGCAAATTCACCGACACTGAATAGTATTATGGCTCTAGTAAATGCTGGTGGTGTCGTGTTCGTGTAATGATGATTTAGACTAAGACTAGGGAGAAGACATCAACTGCTAATTAGTCCTTCTATACCCCGTGATTGGGTACACTACTACTACTACTCTATGATAATTTTTGATTCCGACAAGCACAAGAGATGATTTCAAAGCGGAGATGAATATCGTCAACATGATGTTCTTCAGTCTCCTCGCTCAACCAAACACCAACCTACATCTAGATCACACTCACTTCTATTTACGAGTCTAATCCTTCTTCCAAACGTGGCAAGTATCTCTGTTCTGGAGGCTTTATTGGTGAAGCATCGGCTCTGGCGGATTTGTTTAAACGCTATCCGATTCAAGAATTTGCCTCAAAATTCCCGGAACAGAGTGAGCAATACTACTGGGTCCAAGTATGGGGTGGAGAGTACGAGCAAAGCTTGAAAGGCAAAGGGGCTGCTTCTTTAAGGACAATGGATTCAGACTCTTTTCTTGAAGGCAAGCGTTGTCTCATCAACTTGAGGATCTCAGTTTATGAAAACCGGCATTGATGAGTTAGCTTTGTTTATTCCAAGCACAGTTGTCTTTGAAAGGGTTTAGTCTACACTTGAGCTGTGTCCTCATGCAGGGATTGCCATTCGTTTCTCAATGAAACGACTATTACTGACTGTCGAACCCTTCTTCGAATCCCCATCTGCCTCGACGACGAAAGTGCAATTTTCGCCTCCAATCTCGGTTTTTCGAAACTCCAAGTTCGCAATCAGCAAGTGCTAGCCGAACCCTTCGTGTCTAAGCCCCCAGAAGAGTACAAGGACGATGGATCAGGGCTAGGTCCAAACCCAGGATTCGAGTTGGACTTTGCGAAAGCAGCGGGATCTCGCGTCACTGCACTAGCAAGCGGAACAAATCCTGTTGTTCTGCACTGGAATGGCTTCTGGAAAACGAACATCTACAGAACTTATTTGGAATTAACGCATGCCGCATCCTTGAGAGGACAGTTCTGGCAGAACGTTCACCTACCAGGGCCGGAAACGAAATTAGAGAGTCTACAATTGTTGGATGGAAGTGTCGGAGGAGGTACCAGTAGTGTCGGAGGAGGCACAACTTCTTCTTCAAAATCAAGTGGAGGACAAGGAGCGGGAAGGAGAAGGAGCTTGATGTCTTCTGAACAAAGAAGTAGCTACGAGAAGAACGATGCACTTGATGAACAACGTGAAGAAAGTAGACCACTGCTGGAAATGAGTACATTCAACATACGAAGGTCGTTGGAAGCGTATCCGCAAAAAAGCGAGAGTGTAAAGATGATACCTGCAGCAGCTTCCGCTGCACCAGGATATCTTCCCGGATCATTCGCAGACGATCTGAGTAGGAGAATCTCGATAAAAGACTTTGCAGTGACGACTTTTTTCGCAGATCACGAGACGGATGCTCCGACCTTCATTTTTCTTGGTGGCACAGCCAGTTGGGCGATCTCCTTCTCGGGACAAATTTCTTACGTCTGCTTTCTGCTCCTGTTGATCATTCGTCTCGTCATAGGATTGCAGCTGAGGCAACTCAATTCTACTAGTGAAGGATCATTAGGTCACAGCGTGGCTGAGGATGAGATGGAGACGATGGTCGCCCCTGCGACTGGGCAAGCGAACGCGGTAAAACCGGAATCCTTGGGAGACACCTCATCTTCTAGAGGAGCGGAAATTGATGGAGATGAAGAAACTGGGCATGACATGCGGCCGCAGAAAGGAGGTAGAAGACTCAAGAATCACGAGTTGATTATACAGGGACAACATCAACAACAGCATCTACTTCGAAGAGTTGATGCAACACGACTAAGAGACCACTTTTCAGACCGATGGTTTCGAAGACTACGGCTGCTCACAACACTTGTGTATCTTGGCTTCGTAGTGTTCCTAGCCCATTTTGTCTTTGTGATAAGTGGATACGTCCTAGCCTCAATGCGCCTGACGACATTCGCTAGTGTTGCGCGCACGATTGAGTTTCGAGTGGGGCCGACCTTGGCCCTTTGGATAGATCGGATGCCTATACTCTTTCCAGCGTTGTTGTCAGCAATAGCAGCAGAGACGTTCGGGAGATGGTTGTGGAAAACGTTCTATGCTGTTTAGAGGCCATTGAGATTGCCGCGCAATTCGAATTCATTTACAGATTTTCATATAAGTGCAAGTTCATATGCCAGATTCTTCTCCTCTGTTGGTTTTCTCACACAAGAGTTCTCACTGCTGCTTGAATCCTTGTCCATTCGCTGGGAACATGCGAAAGTAGATGAGAATCTCACGCGTCGAAGTTCTTCTTCTTTCTGTCATAATGCGAATCAATGAGTTTTCTTCTCGTCTTTTCCGCGAACCAAGCAGCTGTGGAATGGCTTCACCTTGAGCTTTGTGTTTCATCACATATGTGTGAATGTGTCATCTGCGAACTCTGTGAATCTTGCGCATTCATGTTGGCGTGTTTTTCTCGGAAGAGAATCATAAATTTTTTTCAACGCTACAGGTAGTAATCTTGCAGCACAAGTTATGCATTTTTGAAAGAGTGTTACTAGTGCAATTGGATCTCAATTAATGCACGTAGAGAGACTTGCCGCCGACGCTGTTAGCAAAGAATTTCTCGATCGTCGCACACCATGGTCTCTCGCACTAATCTGCATACCATAGAAATTCGTTCGCTGTAGTTTACTTGGAAAAAATGGCTCGCAAGCAATAGCGCCTGCGCTGCACAGCAAGGAGGACAGTCCTGCGCCGACTGACCTTCCTATACCCTCCATGCTTCAATCTTGCTAAGAAGCAACTACTTCCCCTGCGCAACAACAGCATCACCTTCTTCGTAAAATGCGATACCACCATACGGCAGACGTCCGTGCTTCATACCTCTCCCTAGTACCTTCTCCAACAAGAACAAGTCCGACACTCAAACTGCGTAGCAGACTACCAGCTTCAGCAGACCACTATCTAGACCTTCACTTCATCTAGACCATCACTTCTCCAACACACCACATACCCAAAGTGAAGCCCCCTTCTCCCCCATTTCCTCTGTACAACGCACAAGGAACGGCCGAGGAGAATATGGAGAAATCCAGTAACGGAGTCGAGCCGACCTCTACGTTGTCTACTAGTACAGCGAGCACAGCGCATACGATGGCAGAACCATCTTCCTCTAGTTCCAACGCACTGACGCACAGAGTCGTCAATGGAACACGTTTCGCCCAAGACGACGCACACGTAAGCGTGGATCGGAGATATACTGTTCTTATGGAGGAATCTATATAAAGTTTAAATTTTGAGTCAACTACCCGTCGTAAATGAAATCAATCCCCATCCTCGTCCTTCATACTTGCCTTCGCGTCCGACGAAGAAAAATACCGTTTTTACGTCGTCTTCGCCCTCAAGTTGATTTTTATCGCGCCATGGAGATTTGCCCTGTGGGCAATAGCGCACGTGATGTTGGGTCTCTTCTACATCCTAGCCCAAGTAGAGAAGAATATTATGCAATCTGTCTACGAAATTGACCGGCCAATACGAGAAACTCTTACTGGCGGGATTGCGTTCAAAATCTACTTGGCGTTTTGCGGGATTTTCGTCCGTATAAGGTTTGTAGAGAAGAAGGAAGACCACGTAGCAAAGGTGGAGACCTACTGGAACTTGCGGGATACGCCGATAATAGTGAGTAATCACACTGGTTACGTGGATGGGCCACTTTACTTATGGCCATAAGGATAAATGGTTTAGTCTTGGTTAAGTACTGGCGCCTTTTCACTTTCTACATTATTTAAAACCTTAATAGTGAAACAATGGCGCCTTTTCAACAATGGCGCCTTTTCACTTTCTATATTATAACACCTTCATAGTGAAACAAGAACAACTTCACGATTGCCACTTTCTACATTATAACACCGTAATAGTGAAACAAGAACAACTTCACGATTGCCACTTTCTATATTATAACACCTTCATAGTGAAACAAGAACAACTTCACGATTGCATTGATAAAGTAAAACGCGATAACGTCCAACGCGCAAGAATCTACAGTTCCGATCAAAACCCATGCACATCTAATCCCAACCTGCTTCCTCTACCGCTGCAAGCCTGTGATGACCTCGTGGGTTTTAGACTTGCCTTTGATTGGCCGTTGTGCGAGGGACCTAGGTTCGATTCCCGTGGACCTAAGGAATGAGCAAAGTAGGCTAGCTAGTATGAACCGGATAAAGACGCATTGTGAAGCGTGGCGACCACCACCTAGTTCGGATCCAGAGAGGCCAAAACTCTATTTAAGGGTTACCGAATTGCATCCTTCACTACCATTCTTGACTTATTTTCCAATAGGAAAGAAGTCAAGGATGATCTGAAGAATGTAATTGCGCAACCCCTAATCTATGACCCGATCAAAGAGGGTTGTGTGTCTGCTTCCGGAGAAGGAGGAGCATCATCGTCAGAGCAGGGAGCGGCTGTAGCGGTCGTAGTGGAAGTCATGGCGATGGAGATTTATTACAGCCCTGACCACACCCCTCATTGTTCTCATCGGTTAGTATAGAGAATTACTACCAATAACCTCAACCTCCTCAGCACTCCAGTGTGTGCGATTTTGATTAGCTTATCTAACTGCGAGGTAAGTGAAGTTAAGTGACCTACAATCTAAAAAACCTCCAGTCACCATTATTACAGCCTTCAGAAAGATTACTTTGTAGAGTGAGAAAGATTACTTAGGTCTAAGTTTTAGATTTTTTTTTTGTGCTAATCCCAGTTCAGACGAAGGGCGGTTACGTGCGCCTCTTCTACAACAAGGCTCAGCTGCAAGCAAGGGCTCTCTTCCTACTGCACAAGCTTTGTTGGGGGAGCCCTGTGACCGTGCGGACCCTCTGCTGCATCGCGCACAAGCATGCCTGATCTTCCCAGAAGGCAGTTGCTGTAATGGGGAACGAGTAGGCATGTTCAAGAAAGGGGCTTTCACATTATGGATAGGATTAAGGAAAGAGAGGACTTCGACTTAGTTTTATTCCAATGCGCGATTTTTACTGACTGAAAAGTAAGAAATCAAATGGAAAACTATCGTTCGCTGCCAGAGCTAGCGCTACTATCTTCTAACCTTTGCTGCCGCACCTATTAGACCTGTAGTTGCTCAGTGGTACAATTGGGGAGGATGGAACTCTGCTTTGGCGGAGTCTCAGCGTGACAATGACTGGATAAACGGGGAGAACGCCTTTGATGCGGATAGCCTACTAGCCGAATACTGCTATTCTTCAACCGATGGCTCAGTAGGGCGTGCGGAATGCAGAACGGCAGAAGAGAAGAGTGCTTTGAATTATGGAAGACAATCAACTTTTTTGAACTTATATGCGGTATAGACAAAGATTTGTTGTTGCTGGAGCAAGCAGGCCAGACATGCCTTGTTCCATGATTTATATTCCTATAGAAGATCTTTTTTTGCTCCCCTGGAGAATACCAAGAAGACACATTATCATTAATTCAAAATTATAAATTATATGAACGTGGTCTCACTAATTCATTATACATTATATGAACGTGGTCTCACTCTCAGTCTCTAATTCCTAGACTTGAACACACCCCGCGTTTACAATGCGGAACACTATCCAGGTGAATTGCGGACTTATTCGGCTTACTGGTGGTTTTTGCTGTTCCTGATGGAGCCTTTTCTTATGAAAAAGTTCCTAGTACTTTTGAATCTGAAAATTGGAAATTCTCATTTGAAGCCATGTCAACAGAGATCAATTGAATTTTATCCTCTACAAGTAGATGAGTCTAGTCTTGTTCTACCTAGAAGAAGTTGCTACAACTGAAGTGGTAAAGAATCACAACCATAATTAAAAAAGTCTTTCCTACCTCTCGAATGGGTACACTACTACTACTAATCACAACTTGTTCACCGTCACCCTCTAATCTTAACCTCTGCACTCTCTATTGCCTCCCGCCTTACACGCCTTCGCAGCCTGAAAGAGAGGACGCTGAACTTTACGCCGCGAACGTCCATCGTCTCATCCAGATCAGCTATCAGCTATTGCGCAAAGGTGTCGTGCCGAAAGTGGAGTACTAGAGGTGTCTTGTAATGGTGTAACTTAGTACTTCTTGAGATGTGTAATAGTAACTTACTTCTTCAAGATCATCACGAGCTAAAATCGGTGCTCCTGCTGCATTGGCAGTGCGAGTGCTCTTTGGGTTGCGTCTATGGAATGCTTCATTTCAAGCACCCTCTTATGATGGAGGACTTCTGAGCACATTCAGAGCACCATAATGGATTCAACATCTACTTCTTCTTGAGCTACAACTCGGTTAACAAATCTAGTTGCACCATTTTTACTAGATTCATTTTGCTATCAATGTAAGATTGTGTGCGTGGTGGAGCTGCACTCATTGTCATTATTGTGTTCCCTGCAAGCAAGGCACTGATTGAAGTTTAGGAATTCTAGAACACGCTCTATCAACCCTTCAATTTTCCGAAAATTGAAAAATCGGAAACAAATGTAGGAGCAGAGCTGAGCAGAGCTCCATCACGTTCTCGTGGTTAGCAAATTCAAACGAAACAGAGAAGAGAGAGAAGTAGGAAAACGATGAATACTAAGGATATTCATCGTGGTATGGCAAGATACTAAAAGTATCTTGTTCTAAGGGATTTACTGACAGTATCTACAGGGATACTGAGGATCAAAAAACCATGTCCGAGCGCAGTGGCGGTCGTAAGCGCAGCAAAGACGTGTCGAACCGACGTCGACCACGGAAGAAGTATTTTAAGCAGTTCTTCCTTTCATCTTCATCTAGCCAGCAGGTACTCCTTTTCTTGACTACGAAAGGCAAAAACCTTCTTTCTTTTTTCATCTCTTTCCAAGAAATGATTGTCTGTGCTTCATTACTCATCTCCCCAACAAACCACGAAAGCCACATCATCGACAACAGAACAAGCACAGCCCCATCCCTATACTAGGTCCGACCACACCAACGCGTCTTTGAATGATAGCCCTATCCGTCGTGAGGAAGGAGCCGCTTTGACTGCTGATCCAGAAAGCGATGTCGAGTTGGACTCGATGATCCAGTCCCTGGAGGGCCGCTTAGCACACCTAGAAAGCTGGAGATTGGATAGCAGTAGAGATGGTATAAGATCTGGCTTTTGATAAGTTACGTGATATGAATTTCTTGTGATGTTCAAGGTGTTTCGTAGTGCTTAGTGCACCTCTTGTTGCTCATGATCTTGGTTGTTGACAAATGTCATCAAGCAAACAAAATTATTTCCCAGGATGATCAACAGATGGCAACTCATTTTTCACTCCCTTTTTCAGGTGTCACTCCAAAGACCAGTGCCCGAGGGGAAGCAAAGCATAACCAGCTTGCCGCGTCTATTCGAGGCATGCTGGAAGGGGATAGGTACTTACTCGATATGAGTATTTTCTTGCACGCTTTGTTATTTCAAAATTTGGCTAGCTTTGGGGCGGTGTGGGCCACTCTGAGAGGAGGCCTCTGACGGTGCGGGCGCTCCTCTCTTGGAGGGTGCCCTGACTCGGTGCCCCGTGTTGTTGTTTTGCGGGGGGGCTGCTTCTTTGAACTTCTAACAAGGCGGGAAACTCGGGGCGCAAGCGCGCGGGAAAGGAAAGCCCGTTGGACATCTTATCGGGCTCCGTGCTTTGGGGATCCAGCTACAGCGGTGCGGTGCGACCTATTGGCTCTCGGTCGCAGCCAGTATATACATAGGAAACGCCAGGGGCGCCCCCCTGCTTACTTTTTCTGTCTGGTCTTGCTAGCGCAGGTAAGAATGAAACCGCGGCGCGCTTCGTGTGTTTCTACTTGTGGAGCGTTCTTTGCCTTCTCCTTATTATCTCCTTTGTGCTTGATCAGCGTTGCATTACTCTTGTGATTGTTATGCCATATATGATACATAGGTGGCAGGCTACAGTGTACTGATATGTTGTTTTTTGTTTCCAGGCTCGCGAGTTCGCCACCACACTCGGCACCGCTAGCGGGGAAGATTGCTGCGACGCCATCTACGACGGGACTTCTGATGACAGACCCGACTTCGAATAAGCCAGTCATTTCTAGTACATCACACCAGCCAAACAAGACGAAAGCAGCTACTTCGTCGAGCAGTAATTCGCGATGGCAACTCAAGAGTCTGCCAGGAAGCCGACGAGGGTCCTCAGGCACTCTGGAAAGCGAAGTCAAAAAGGCAGGAGGGTCAAAAGATTCTGCGTCATCAGCTTCTTCAAATAGTGCAACCGACCACCAGGGGCGGTCCTCTTCATCAAGAGCACCATATGCAAAAAGCAGAAGTCCTTCTTCCACAAAGCAAAACTCCATGCTGATGAATGCTGGTGAGCGATCTCGGGAGTCAACGAGTCTAAGACTCTCGTCTTTGAGGCCAGAAGCCGCGACGACATTGGAAATACCGGATATCGAGTCTAGCACAACAGAAAAAACAGTGTCTTTATGGACATTCTCTTCATCTCAGAAGTAGAACTCCTCAACATTTAATTCAGAAGATGATAGGTTTTCTATAAAGTCATTTAATTCAGAAGATGATTATTTCTTTTCTAAAAGTTGGGTTACTGACACTCCTCAGAGGAAGCAGGCTCTTCAGTAGATGACTTCTTTTCTAAAAAGTTGAAACCATCATCCTCCGCGGAATAGTCCCATCGACAGTTTCGAAACACTGATCAGGGCGAAACTCCATTCCATCTTCCGCTCCTCATGCATCCCATCCCTTTCTAAGCTCTGCCATCCTACATGACGGCAAAGGTGACACCTCATCTGTCCTGCCATCGAGCAAGAAACACCTTCTAGAACACCAAGAACATGAGCAGCACGAAGACGGGTTACTGACACGTGCTCCACCGTCATCAGAGGAAGCAGGCTCTTCAGTAGCTGAGTGTAGTCCTACAGAGACCGTTGCGACGTTGCAGCCTTCCCCGCATCTTGTGTCTTTAAGGTTGTAGTAAGTTGTTGTGACTAGTAGATGTGCTCGAAAACTGAAAATAACTACTGAGTTACTGATTGAAATATTAAAGGAGGTAGCTTAAGAACATCAAGGCTACTCTTCCTTCTCATCAGTATCCCGCTTATTTTCAGTAGTTACTTGTTTATTTCAGTTTTTCGAATAGTCGTTCTCGGTAAGTACTTTTCGTTTTTTCATTTTGTATTGAAATTGGTACGTCGAGCATGACCACGACTTCGTTCTAGAAAATGGTTTGACTTACTGAAAAACCGAAAATATTAGAACGACTCCGTTTCGCCACCTGATTAAGCATACTAAACACATCCGTTATCTAATGCTCCCAGCAGATGCTCCAAGATCCTACCTACCGCAATTGCCAACTTCGCCAGGCATGCCACGAGTCCCTGTGATCAATAATTTGCATGTTTCCAGTCAACGAGAACAAGGATTCCACGAAAGACCTCTCCTAAATAACATCAACGGCGTCGAACAACAACCACCTGTGGTTTCAGCATCGTCTTCCGAAGAACACACTTCGGTGGTGCCTCCTCATCGTGGCGTTCTCAGTGGAGGTGCCTATGGTCGTAGTGAGCGACCGCAGATGGTCTCGCCTGGGGACAGTTTGAACTTGCACGTTAGTCGACTGAATCAAGTGGGAGGAGGCAAAAGCGGCAATCTTGCAGAAGGATCTCTAGCCACGCCTTTACCGAAGGATGCAGGCGCACACCGAAGCAGGGCTGGTTCTTTAGTGAGCATGAATGGCGCTGATACGCAGAAGGGAGCTGTTGAAGCGTTACGGCACTTTTGTGAATGTGATGCATTGTTCTGATGTTAATTCAAACTAACAAGAAGAAGCAACACACTGCAACAGATCATCGATTACTTGCGTTTACTTACCTCTCTAACCTTAGCTGCTGAAAGCGGTGTCATGGGAGCTCTACGGAACAGACTGAGCCGTTTATTTGGATCCAAAGAAGAACCACAGCAATCAACTACAAACAATCACACTGGTGGAGATCCATTGCATAGTAAAAGCACTGGCGGTTTCATGAACAACATGAATATTGGAGACAACATGGCGTCAATGGCTTCGGAAAGAAATAGAGGGGATACGTGGCGTAGTGGTCGGAAAAGAACAGCGAGCTTGGAGAGTTTGGCGGCTGGGGGTATTTAATGATGCATTGGGAACGAAGTCATATCTTCTTGTCGGATAAAGAAGACTTTGTAAACCTGGTCTTGATCTTCACACCTAGTTGTGCAGGATCCATAACCTAACCTAACCTTCACACCATGGATTACAAGGACCAATAAGTAATTATAACAAATTAAATTGATTTTACTAATATATGTGGCTTATAACAAATCAAATTTCATCCTTCTTACAATGACATTGAATTAAAAGGTGGCGGCGGTGCCGGTTCACAGCACGTCAGGGGTTCAAACTCCTTGCTTGGACGCGAGAGTCGATCACTTGAAAGTGTCCGGAATCCAGGAATGGCGCGTCCTCCCCGTCGAGGCACTTTAGAGCCAAGTGCGATGACTTCTCTGGAGCCTAGATCATCAAACGGCATTCAATCGCAGTTGCATCTTCCACCACCTGGCTTCGTGGAGCGCTATAGTATGGCTTCGAGGCCAGTCTCGCGTGCAAATTCAGCAAATCTAACCGGAGGAAAAAGACGTCCTTGCGTCGTTGGGAGTACAGAAGGCAAGGATGCTGGAAGTGGCTTATGACAGGAATAGTGCAATCTCGTTGTGAGCGTTGTAGTCCACAGCGTGAAATAAAGAAAAAAACACTTCACTTCTGTGTCACTTCTTGTGTCACTTCTTGTGTCACTTCTTGTGTCACTTCTGGTGTCACTTCTTGTGTCACTTCTTGTGTCACTTCCGATGAGCCGCACGATGCTGGCTGAGCCTGCATTCTAATCCCAGTAGTGGTTCGCAACTTGCTCACAGACACGACGACCGTTTTGATGCCAGGTGAGTCGGGGGGTGGGTGTGTAGAAAGCCCCACAGACGCAGGTAAAGCCAACGATCATCCGGCCGATCTTTCGGGTGCTGGTGGAGGGGAAAGTAATAGGACTGTTGAAAAGCAGTTACTATGTTAGTAAATATTCATTTTCTAGCTACATCAAGTTTACTTGGTGACAAGTTTTCAATTACGAACACTGACTAGCATTAGACTTTTCTGAAGAAAAACAAAAAGATTCTCCACCTGCTACAAATACTGTCGCAACAGATATCAACTATGCAGAACCTTTGCAACTTCGAATCGCCGGAAGTCCGCATTTAGAAGCGGTTCCAGTAAGGCGAAATCCACCAACAGAACAGACGCAGGGAGCCTATGGTGGACTTAGTGGAGGTATTTTTGTAATCTTCTCTTTCTCGTTGCGTAAATTCCTCTTCTACTGCATGGTTTTGAGTAGATTGACAATTTCTGGAATTATACACAGAAGAAGATTGGTCTTATCACACAAGCTGACAAAATAACAACATTTCTGTCAGCTTGCTTCCCCGGCGTGCATTGTCACGAGAAGATGCATGCCATGAGGAAAAGCTGTAGCGTCAAAGGGCATGAATGCAGAGAGGACACAGTTCATAACTATGGCCCGCTTAAGATATAGCTAGTGGTAGAGGCTCGCTGTTTGCTAGTTGTAGAGGTACTCACTAATGCAGATTTTTCGTGTACATGAACAACCTCAAAGAGAAACACATTGAATCTTGATCTTCTCTAAATCCCTGTCCGAATGGGTGGGAAGCATTGCTACATGCAAGGCCAGAAACTTTGCCAAAGTGGTCGTGACTGCACTCGCGCTGCCAGCAAAAAGTGTGACTCTTGTGCCTGCATGTGTGCGGCTTGCATGCATAAGGTGAATACCAGCTTCCGAAACCGCAGAGAAGAAGCCAAACGCTGCCTCCACGACTCAGGCACTTCCTTGCGGGCTTCAGCTAAGGAGTGCTACCAAGGGATGGGTGCATCTGCTGGTGGTTTTGGCGAGACATTGAATTTGGTGGGCGGAGGCGCCAGAAGCAGAGTAGGCAGCCGCATGGGCATGACACCTACAACCACAGCATCTGGTTCCAGCGATTTTTCTCGAAGTTCAGCGTCTACTTCAGCAGGCTCATCTTCGTGCTTCGTCTCTTCCCGATCGGCCTGTTGTCCAGCAGGTGGAAGGTCATGTCCGGGTGCTGGACTTTTGGGTGGGATAGGATCGAAGAAAAAGGGGAACGAAGTAGAAGGAACGATGAATGGAGCATCATCATCGAGTGGCGAGCAACAATCCCTAGCAGATCACTTCCCGGAGTCCACGCAATCGAAAAGCGATCGGTCTTGCTGCTCGCGATCGTGCGTGGATTTACGTGGGGAAGTAGCCTTTCTGTCGAATCTGCCAACGTTTTTTACGATGGCGCATTTCAAATCGCCTTGGGCTTCGCAACACTAAAAAAATGGATGTTACCTTGTTATGTTGTTACCTCTGTAGGGGATAATTACATCTGTTGTAGGGGAATATTAAGTTATAGTATGATGAAGAATACAAATTTTTATAGCACAACGGACTGATTCTCAATTTTGAGTAGTTTTTTTTCCAAGAAACGCAACTAAATATTTCATCACACGTGTTACAATACGAATACGGTATTTCTATTATCTTCTTCAATAATTTGAGGTTCTTTATCTTGATCTTCTTCTTAACATCAATGAATGCTTCTACTTTATCCTGACCAAATGAATTCTTATGCTTACTACAACCGATTGATGATTACTTGAAATAATCTACTTCTCCAGGTTCTTGAACTGTATCGTTTCTAGTGGTCATTCGGTATTGATGTCTTCATTATTACAATACGGTAGCTGGTTCAGGTACTCATAGACATGCAGTGATGTCTCTTTGGGAGTATTGTTCTAGTCTGAGTTCTTAGGTTCTGGTTCTTTTTTTTGTACAACGAGTTCTTCTTATGTTGTTCTTAGCGTGTATTATAATATGCCACTGTGTTCTTGAAGACAAAAGTGGAAACAGGAGGTTGAATACTATTAGTACTAAATGGGACACCATGATGATGAGGAAGTAACTGTAATTGATTTTTTATGATTAAAAGAATTAGGGGGTACTAAGCTGCTCTACTAGAAGGTGTTGGAAATGCAAATGACTTGTTTGATACTCGTGTCTAAATCTAAACTATATGAGACTTCCGTATTAAGTCTAAGGAAGTGGATATGAATATGAGAATGAAGTTTGTCGATATCAAATAATGAATCCTACGAACAATAAGTGATGGTGTTTCGCTTTAGGCTGTGAATACGAGATATGAGTGGTCAGTACTGGAGTAGATGAAAAGAAATTACAAGTATTTTTTTAAGCAAGTGTCTGACTGGTGTGTGTAAAAAAAAGTTCTGGGAGTACAACTATATCACGTGGGGGACAATATTAAGTACTACAAAAATGACCATACTAGATAACGGGCGTCTTATTGACGAGACGACCGCAGGGTCGCGCGCTCCGGAGTGGTCAAGCACGACATTGAAAGCTTTGACAAGGGAGCTCAAAATCCACGTCGCTTCTGGTGCACGGAAACACTGCGTCGGAAAATTTGTAATTTGTAAAATCGAGAAAAACTTTTCTGAAAGATGCATTTCTAAATACAGCAAATTAAAGCGAAAGTCACTACGGAGTAGCCTAGAATGGAAGATGTCCTACATTCAGAAAATACGCGCGTAAAGCGCGAAAAGAGTACCTAGAAGTACAGGGTAAAAAAAGATGGTCGTGGGCCGAATAAGACTGCTCACGACTTGCAGTTTTCCAGTCCTACTTGCAGTTTTCCAGTCCTATGCAGTGAAACTGGATCCCTTCCATATCGACGAAATTACCGTTTCCCCCGTTCCTGTGACTAATAAAGCAGAAATAGATGCCCAAGTCGCAGAGAAAGAGGAGGAAAAAGACGCAGCCTTGGCTCAAAATTGGATTCTAGATACCGCGATCGCGGTGGAAAAAGATCGCACAAAAGTAGAAGCACTGAAGTTAAGGGTAGTTGGAAGTTAACTTATCTGAGAACATATCTATGACCTGGTATCTATGACCTTATCTACGGTCCTCAGGAAAGTTGGCAACAGGGACATATGCATGCATCAAGAAGAAAAGGATGCCAATGCCCACCAACACAAGACCTACCATCACGAGTGATACCACCAAACTTCGGTGATTAGAGAGTGTGCGAGCTAGAAGATAGGTCAACTTGCAACCGCTAATGGTGGGAGAATTAGAGAGTGCGACGCGGGAGGCGCACAGTATCTACTTGGAGAACCGAGAAGCAATCCAGAAAGTAGTCGATGCGGCAAGTGCGGTGGGACATTACTTATGCAGACATTACTTATAAGGAAAAGACTATGAGGGGGAAGTATTATTTTATCTATCAAATCTTCTATTATCAAATGTTGTAGAACTATGGCTTTAGTTTTAGTTAGCTCTTAACGTAGAATGACTTCACGACAAGCTGCAGCTGTCCAAAACATGGAGGAATGTGAACGACCTTCATCACATGGTCGAACGCTTCCTTAATAACCTTTCAAGTCTCATCAAGATCATCCAGCATAATCATTTCCCATTCCCACGTCGTGGTCCTCTTCTCCCTCATCTAATCCCCGAACGCCGTCTCCAGCTAGAAGTAGCAGAGCCACTTGCTGCAAAGATCAAAAAGCAGCAAGAAGAGGCGACTTTGAAGGCGATTCGCGCAGACCGGGATGACTTGGGGAAAGCGGCAGCAAAAGTGCGTGCGCAGTTACGCTAGGGTTAATTTCTTAGTGTTGGGAGTTTGTTATTTCCAGTATGATTCTTGGGTGGTTGCAGGAGTAAATAGAGACCCTTCTACTTGTTCTACATGAACGACAATCAACTACAAGTTTGCTTGGATGCAGTTAAAGTCGCTCATTTCTGAACCTCCGGGTGATCAATCTGTCTTCTTCTAACAACTGTCCTAGCAGACCGGCAATCCCAACGAGATGCTGCGAAGCAAGCAGAAGAAGACGCCGTCAAGCCGATCGCGGCAGCCAAGGGAGAAGAAGCCAGATCAGTTGTCGACTTTTGGAATCGCGCAAGGTCTATGGCAAAACAAGTGGGGGCTTTGAAAAAAGCAAGCATCAGGGTTGCGAAACAAGCGGAATTGTAATTCTTAAGACTTGAATCATGTTCGTGATGTAGTTGACTTAAAAGCAATGCGTAGCTTCCTTTTCATCCAAGGAAACCGATGGAATCGGTTGTAGGTTTCGGTTGTAGGCACGCGGCCCACTTCTTCATCAGGAAACTGGTTCTCGGTTGTCGGGTGTTTTCCATCAAATTGGCACATTGGCACTCGTTTGCCTCAATACATCACATTGGAAATCGCGCGGAAATAGAGCTAAAGTGATGGAGGAGATCAAGGATATCAGCGCAGGCAAGTCACGTTCGTGATCTAGGTGACTTCAAAGCAATCGGTTACCATCTTCAAATCGAAATTATCCTAATCCAATCCGTCTTCTTAAAATACAGGTACTCCTTCCGCCACCTCACTCTGCAAGCGAGTCAGATGATGATGCAGGCGCATGAGCTGATGAAACAGGCAGACGCCTTGAGGGCAGATGCACAGAAATTCGCTCATGCTGCTGAGCAAATGTTAAGGAAATGAACGTAGACTAACTAAAAAAGTTAGCTATGAGGAGTCCGACAGAGGGAATGAGTTGCAACCTCTTTTTTTTTGATTTTAGTAGACGAAGGAGCTTCCTAGATTACAGTTATTTGAACGTGCCTTGTCTTAACCTTCTTCAAGGTCCTGTAATTACAGTAGTTCCTGTTCCCTCTAACAAGAAACGGAAAAGTTGGTACCATCGCAGCTGCGGAGGCGTCGGCTAGGGCGGCGGCAAGAGAGCAGTTTTTTCCTGGAGGATCTGGTGTTGCTCATGACGAGCCGTTGCCGGACCTGCCTAGTGGTGTGGAATTCGCGGAAGTGGAGGGTGGGGGAGGATCAGCGCCAGCTGGTAGTAAAGCGCCGGCGAACTAGTAGTAGCTGTGGTTAAAGTTGTAGGATGAGAAGACGAAGTTGTAACTTGTTGAAGATATTTTTAGGTTGTACTCATAGAAGAGGACCAAGCGTCAAAGGAGCACTATTACTATAGCATCAGCAGACGCAAAGAAACACGGAAGCAAAATTTTGAGTATCCTTTCTTTTTTCCAAGCTGTCAGCCAGAGTTCGTTACATCTCGACAACAGGAGATCCTAGAATCACGACAACATCTAAAGTGTTGCGAAAGCATGACTCTTGTTTTTGTCGGTAACGAGAGCAAGATCCAAGAACACTAGGTTTGATAAATCTGTTCTCCGTTTGCATCATAGCTGTTCCACCGATTTGAGAGTATTTATCTTTTGAGAGCATTTGAGAACCAGCTGCATCAATTTGATCTGTTGAGAAAAGCATCTCTGTAGAGAGAAGACGAAGAGTATGCTGTTATATCAATCTGTGTTGAGAAGAGGTCTTGCAAAGCATCCACTGTCTGTTAGAGTGCGAGAAATAATTGCTCTGTCTTCAGAGTGAAGTTATCTTGAGTCTTCCACGTCTATCTGTTTTGAGGGTGAAGGTTTTCAAATTCTGGTCAAGCTAGCGGCTTATTCCCCATCTTCTCTTTCAACGATTTTCAACGCAGCTTTGCGAATACTTAGACCTATCATTTCGCTTCCCTCTCGATATTTCCTGAAGTATCTGATTCATTCTCATTCTTCAAGGAGTACTTCTATTGATTCCCCCTAAGAAATCAATTAGAATTACTTAATAACCTAACTTAGATTTGCTTACTTATCATGCAACAAATCAAAATCTTTTGAACGAATACTTCCAACTTTTCTTCATCTACTTGTATCTGATCTCTCAAGATACCATAGATAGAACAAGATGGATGACATTATGGGAGAATATACAGCTGAACGGATGCTGTCCGCTGCAGCGAACAACGTGACGGAGCCGGCCATCTGTGAGGTGGGAGGGACTCCGGGTATGACCGGTATCCCTTGGGGTGGAGATTACGAGGCGGAAAACCTTGGTAGAACTTTGACTTTTGTAGGATTATCTTCTATAGAAATAGGTAGAATTATATGCGCCTGTACAACCAGTGTAATGCTACGTACCGTAAATCTGTACTAGGGTTCATCTATCGTCCACCGTAAATATGTACCTAGGCTCCACCTGTAGACCAACTCTATCACATAAGAAATTATTCCCACTAAAAGAACCAAAAGCATCTTCAACATGAACAAATTTGCGACAAGCACAGGTCTGTACCCCCGTGCCCTCGTGTACACCGCTGCTCTTCTCTGGTTGTTCATGGGTGTCTCCGTTGCTGCCGATCTGTTTATGGAGGCCATTGAGGCTGTGACGAGTGTTCGTAAGAACACCATGGTCACCGCAAAAAACCAGAATGGGGATGACGTGCAACGTATTGTCACCTACAAGGTGTGGAATGGCACCATTGCCAACTTGACCCTGATGGCTCTCGGGTCCTCTGCTCCGGAGATTTTGCTGTCCATTATCGAGTTGATGGGCAACGACTACAAGGCGGGTGAATTGGGTCCGAGTACCATTGTGGGTTCCGCGGCGTTTAACTTGTTGGTCATTTCCGCTTGTTGCGTCTACGCTATCCCGTCTGGTGAGATCCGTAAGATCGCTGGCATCGACGCTTACTGCTGCACAGCGTTCTTCTCCGTGTTTGCTTACATCTGGCTTCTTGTGGTGCTGCAAATCTGGTCTCCCGACGTCGTCGAACTCCCGGAAGCTGCCATTACGTTCGCCTTCTTTCCGTTGTTGGTCATTCTGGCGTATTTGGCCGACCTGGGCATCTTCAGACCAACCGAATACCTGCAAAAATTGTTGGGAAGCAAGGGCGACGACGATGACGGCATTGACATCTCTGGTATGCGCACGAAGGCAGCTGAAACGGCAGACAAGGAAGTCCTGAAGATCAAGAAGTGTACGCTTTTTTCAGTAAGCATGAGTAGCGATACTTTTTTTTGTTGCTGTGAAGATCATAATGTCGCTATTAATGTCTTCTCTTTCGTAGTACCTTCCAACAAACTACATCTACTTCTTTTCCATACAGTACTTATAACCACTTATAAAAATGAACAGTGCTCCAAGATTCTGGCGTATTGGATACTCTTTCCGAGGAAAGGCCTTAAAAATAAATAAACAGTGCTCCAAGATTCTGGCGTATTGGATACTCTTTCCGAGGAAAGCCCTGAGGATGCTGCGAATTACGCAATGCACTTCTTCCAGCGTCAGGGCGTCGCCTTCAAAGAGTTGCGTCCCAATGAGGTCTATGACGTGATTGTGCAGATGCGTCACAAACTCGATGAGGATGATCATGTGGACATGGCTCCCCATGGTATGGATGACGCGAATTCGCATCCTCAGTCTGAGGTGAAAGCCCGTCGTCAATCGCGTGCGCAACTGCGCTCTCAGGCTACTAAGCTGCTCACGGCGAAGAAGCTCCACATCGACGAAATCAAGGGCAGCATGTTGCGTGAGCGTCTGGCTTTGTCGAAAAACGTCGACATCGCACTGTCCGAATCGGCTACTCAGCGCATCGCAGAATTCCACTCCCTCGCCAAAGATACGCACACTGAAGCAGCCGATCGCCGTCTCATGGTCTTTAAGAACAAACCGACGTTCGTTCCTCATCGCCATCAAGTCCCTGACCATCGAAACCGCGTCTTGTTCGAGATGGGTGCGGCAACCGACTTCCTCGTCGTCCCGGAAGGCGTGAAAACCTCGATCCAAGTGCCCCTCGTTCGCCAGATCCACTGCGGTTCTACCAGGATGAAGCTTCCCCACTTAAACTTCGAATCTGAGGTCTCCTCCGGGGTGTGCGTGTCTTCCACAAAGAGTTTTTCCGGAGACCTTTGGTGCAAGCCGATGGACGGTGAGGCAGTGGAATTTCCCCCGCCAGCTGAGGACAATTACCATGGACGCGTGGCTTTCTGTACCCTGCAATTGAACGGGAATCAGCAGAGTGGCGACTACTTGGACGTGACGATTGATGATCCGTTCATGGGACAAGTCGAAGCAGACGACCAGTACATGATGCCAATGCCAATTGGAGGAACTGTTGCTAAGAAAGGAATGCCCGCCGCTCCGGTCGCCGTCAGAGAGACGCAAACCGTGACGAAAAAAGTCGTCTGCAAGAGAGGTTCTCTTGGATTCGGTTATAAGGGCTTTAAGATCACGTCTGTGGAGCCAGCTGGATGGGCTGCGAGCAGCGGTCTCCAGGTCGGCGACAACATCGTGGAGATTGCAGGCCAGCCGACGGCTGGTATGGACGGCAAGGCATTTTTGGGCTTTTTGACCAAGACGCGACCTCTCAATCTCACGGTTTCGCAGAAGAAGGAAGTCCGCCACGGAGCCCAGGACGAGACTCGATATTACAGCCAGGGCGATGACGATGATTGGGACGGAGAATACGATGGAGGTGAGGGTGAGGCCGACGGTCATTATATCGAAGAAGGCGACCATGATCAGGACTATGATCAGGTCTATGATCAGGACTATGATCAGGACTACGATGGCGCTGAGCAAGACTATGAAGATGGACAAGGTGGATACACTGACCAAGACTCTTACGATCAAGCTGGAGGAGAGGGAGAGCAGAATTACGAGGATGATGAGGGTGATTACGGGCAAGACCAAGAAGATGGCTACTACGGCAATGACAGCTATGATGAACAGGAGGGAGCACACAACGCTGCTGCTCGCTCTTCTTCCTCCGAACAAGGCTCTTCTACTGAGTACGGAACTCCTGTCTCTACTTCTCAAATCGCCTTGCGAGAACCCAGTCAGATGAAGATTTGCAACAAGAAGGGCGCTAATACTAATCGTACAGGAGCAAGTACAGCAAAGATCACAGGCAGAAGCATGGAGGGTGCCCACATGATGAGCCCGGTGAACAATCCACCCGATGCTAGCAACGACGGCGCAGCCGAGATCTCCTTGCCTGGCGGACTTCACTGCACTGGTGTTGTCAACAACAACCCTCTTTGTCGTGTCTACGTCGTTCCCCAATCCGAGTACGCGTTGGCTTCTGGTGAGATCATTTTTTTCAGCGAACAGTTGTTCGTTCCCGGCTCTTCGCAGCCGCAAGAAATCATCTGCTATGCTCTGCGCGTCCACGGGTCTGCCGGTGCGTGCAGAGTGAAGTGGCACACTGAGAAAGCCACCGCTTTGCCCCAAATCGATTACGAACCGGTGGAAGAAGGAGTTATCGAGTTTCAAGAAGGACAGACGGTGGCGTCGTTTAGGGTGAGTCTCACTGGCAGACATCCGTATGACAGTGTCACGGACTACTTCTACGTCATCATGGACCACATCGAGTTGACCAGCCGTGACTGGGAACTCCCTTGGTACTGTACTTTTACTTAATAAGAATTTGACTGATCATGCTGAATGACTCTCTCTGTTGTTTTCGATAACTGCCTACGGAAATTATGCAACGTATGAAGAATGCGATCTAATTATACCCCTGGAGTGGGTACATTCATTCATTCACATCACCCTGAACCTCACTCTTATCATTCTCCTTCTCTTATCACAATTAGCCTTTAGTTGCCTCCCCACATGACACAAACACAAACACAAAACAACACAGGCCCAAGTTTGACAGCGAGACCGACGGTGGTGCCGATGCCAATGTGATGACTGTCTTCTTGCTTCCGCGCAGCAATCCGGAAGAAGGACCTGGAGCCGTCATGTCTGGGGTTGACGTCTGCTGCAACACGGGTTTGTTGGTGCAGGCTTGGTACGCATACGGCGCTCAGTTCCGCGACGCCCTTTACCCAGGTGGTTCGCCCGAAGCAGCGGAGCATTCTGGTGGCTCCTCGTCGCTCGTGCACTACATCATGTTGCCTTGGAAGCTTTTGATGGCCTTCACTCCCCCAACCGTCCTCTTTGGTGGTTGGCTCTCGTTCGTGTGGATCCTGATCGTCATCGGCGTGATGACCAGTTTCGTCGCTGACGTGGCTTCCGTCTTCGGTTGCGTTCTCGGGATTGAGGACTCGATCACTGCGATCACATTCGTCGCCCTAGGAACGTCAGTGCCAGATCTCTTAGCGTCAAAGCAAGCAGCCTGCGAACAAGAAACAGCAGATGATTGCATTGGTACCTAAGTACTACTTGTTCTACTAGTCGAGCAGATGCTGCTCTGGATCCATAATATTTTGAGAGAAGATGAAGGTCGATAGCGATTCTTTTGATGTTGTAGTTGATCAAGTGCTTTGAGAACTGAACATTTACTTTTGCCACGCAACAAGAAATTAGAATCAACCTAGAATTTATTTTTCAGTCAAGCTAAAAACTGTAACTCTCTCTCGTCCCTTTCTTCTATCAGGTAACGTCACTGGTAGTAACAGTGTCAACTCTCTCCCCTTCTTCTATCAGGTAACGTCACTGGCAGTAACAGTGTCAACGTCTTTCTCGGTCTGGGTTTGCCCTTCGTGGTCGGTTCCATTTATTGGGAATACCTTGCTGACGTAACTCAGCCGTTCAGCTATCCCGCAGGTTCCTTGAGTTTCTCAGTGCTTACTTTCACTCTCTGTGCCATCCTCGCTATCGGACACTTGTATTCGCGTCGTGTGCAGTATGGCGGCGAACTCGGTGGACCCAGCGGTCCCAAGCTCGCCAGTGCGATCTTTCTTTGCTCGTTGTGGTTCTTCTACATCGGTCTGTCGATTTGGCGTATCAAGTCCGGAGCCGATGGAGCGGTGGTCGAAAAGTGGGAAGAGTACCTGGCATTCCCGATTGGCTTGGTGCACTTGGCCATTTTCATTGCTATCATTAACGGAGTTGTGTCCGCGTTGGGCGTTGGACAAGAGGACGATGATGACGCGGAGAATGTTGAGGCTGATGAGGGTAGAAAAGTCTCGTTCTTGGCCGAGATGGAAGCCAGGGGACGCAAGAAGGAAGAGCGCAAAATCAACAAAATCTTGGAGATGTTGGGCGTCTCGATGGGTGACGACGACGCGGCACCTGCTGGAGGGAAGGGCGAGAAAACCAAAGCGACAATGACGAAGCAAGCTGTTCGGGCGAGTGTCAATGCGGTGAACAAGGGGAAAGGGTTGGGCAAAGGAGGACATCATCGTCGACAAGGTGCGCCCGATTCTTCGGCTAGTGGTAGAGGAGCCGTTGAAAGATCAAGATCCACTTCCCGCGAATCAGCTGCGCAAAATAAGCGAAACAAGAAGGGAGCTGCTACCACGAGTCCCAAACATTCTTCCAGGGATTCTCCCAAAGACCACCACCATGCAGCGGGCGGAAAGAGAACCTCGAAAGGGGCCGCAGTAGAGCCGGTAAACGAGTCTTCTCAAGAGAGAGAAAGTCGCAGTACCGCCAACTCCATCGGCAAGGGAGAAAAGAGTGCGCCGACTACTACAGCAGCGGAGACAACCCGTTCTACGGAGTCTATGGGAAAAGAGCGTCCAGCACGCGAAAAGGGTGGATCCTCTAACAAGAACGGTGCGGAGGAGACGACCCGTTCTACGGACTCTATGGGAAAAGAGCGTACACCGCGCGGACCGGGTGCATCTTCTAACAAGAACGGTGCAGAGGAGACAACTACCCGTTCTACGGACTCTATGGGAAAAGGCCGTCCCCGGCCCGGACCGGGTACATCTCGCCCGTACGGTGCATCTACAACCAGGAACGCTCCTGCGAAAGGACATCTCGAACCGGCCACACCAAGAACCAAAGAAGCAGCAGTTCGAAGCACAAAAGGAAAAGGAAAGAAAGGACCAGGTGCATGAGTAAACGGAGAGTGAAATGATGTGAGTGAAAGCAGGTTCTTCCTAGTAAGGAGAAGAATTGGAAGATTAAATCATTGGAGCATTTTAAACCTTTACAGGTCTAAGTACAGAATAACTGGAAGAAGTGCAGCTGGAAGTGCAGATGATGATGGTAGCTAGAAGTCGTGCTCTAGTGGTACTGGAGTGGTGTTCGATCTTTTGATTAGAAGTGCAGATAGTAGACCTGTAGTTTTTGGCCGTTGTGATACGGTTTTCTTGCTCCCCCGGTATGTAAGTTTTTAAGTGGGTTTTTTTTAAGTAGTTGAATGGGAGGCAGCATGTAGTCCTATGGAAAAAAACAATGTAGACTACGCCCATCAGGGGATACAGAACTAGCGGACTGAAACTGAAACTTCTGCCACCTCCTACGAAGTAAGTAGACATATTAAACAATTACAAATTATCTTTCGACAAATTGGAATTAAGTTGTAAAAAGTCTAAGTTGCGAGACTGCAGTTTCTTGTTTGGCTTTGAATAGATAGAAGATATTCTTTTGATGATACAGATATGAGAATGTGGATAATCTTCGTACTTTGTTCGTTTTTTCAGTAAAAAAATTGATACATGGATTTGGAAAAAACAACAAGAGATCCGCGTTTTGAGGAGGACCAACACTACCTTTGTCGTTCATACATAGTTGTTAGTCTCTTCGGTGTAATGGCCTTTGGTAGACTTTATAGCTTCAGATACGTTATTTGAATAGTTGCATGTCAATGTATTCGGTAGAATGAATTGCATTACTTAATTGAATTATTATGGAAAAAACAGGAAAATTTGGACACGAACTACGCGACGATCGGTACAACGACTTTAAGATACTGCAAGACAAAGGACTATTTCGGCGTTTTCATAGTCGTGAATGCTCACCTCCTTGAGGCGAGCCAGCTCCTATCCTATCCTTCGTCGCAGTATTGAATTTGCCTTATAGTACACCAGGAGAAAAATTCAGACTAACAGCTGAGCAGTAGTTAGGTTGGTTTGAAGATCATAGAATGTACTAAGACTTTTTTTCCAAGAATATAGAAAAGGTAGGAAAAGAAGATTTGAAGTAAACCACATTATGGTCAAGAATCCGTGATTCTAGAGTCTTGAAGTGTAGAAAGAAACAACGCAACTTGAGAGGTCAGAAAACTCTGATATAGGAATTGCTGGAAAGCAGCAAAATACATTAGTATTTATAAGGTCTAACATTAAGATTAGCTAGGTATTCTCAATGAATTGGAAATCGCAAATATCAAATGTCTTGTTACGAATACGAACGCCAAGTAAAACGCGCAATTTGAATTGTTCTTTTCTTTGATTTCGACATCTGAAAGCAAGGAAACCTTTCAGTTTGTGTTCCGAATGAAGGTCACCAAGGCAGGAGGAGCATCGCTCGATCGGTTATGGACATTTCTTACAACGTTATAATCCCTTGATCATGACTCGTAGTCGTGCATGCTCACCTCCCCGAGGCGAGCAAATTCCTATCGTATCCTATGACTCGGGATCATCCTCGATCCTTTTATGACTTTCAAGAAAAGATACGTTGAGACGTCGCAACAGTGAGTACTACTACTGCTACCTACCTTCATACAAGACCTAAAAAGATGTTGTGGATTGCGCGTCCCCTATTTGGGGGCCTTAGTATAGGTTCTATGGTAAAATGCGCAGACAATTGCGGTGTCGTGAAAGCACGAATATCGGCAATTGGGGTACAAGCCTTTCATCAATTTGGTCCTTTATTTTACAAGATCAAGATGACTTGATGCTGTTCCTCTTCTATGCGTACTAGAGTAATCTTCTTCATCCTAAACTACATACTTGATCTCCCGCTCTCTGGTGCACAACGAAGTTGAACCAACGACCACTGATCCATCTATCCATCGCCTCTGAATCATAATCATCTATCCATCGATTATCTCTATCAGCGCCAAAAAAAAAGTTGCGGTGGCATTGGACAACGCTGTCGCGCGAACATTCGAGATAAGAACGAGGCGTACTGGGGACCGCGAAAGATCAAAGGCTTGATTGTGCGCCGCCGAGCCTCCACTATGCGCCGTGACGGGAGTACCATAAAGTTCGATGACAACGCTATTTTGATCATCAAAAAGAATAAATGTTTGGGCACAAAAGTGAAAGGTCCAGTTGCCTACGAAATGCGGCACAGCTGCAAATCTCTAGCGAGATGGATCTTTTAGTACTACTTACTACTATTCCTTCGTAGAAAGATCTTGATGGAGGATTCCTCGTAGACCTTAATCCTGCATAAGATTTGTGCACAAAGAAGACGATGGGAACTTCTAAGAAATTTAAGGAACGAAGTTCAACATTGAATTTGAAATCAGACGAAAATGAATCCTTTTGCTTGGCGGGTCCTCGCACCATCTGTAGTACCACATTTGATAGATCCATCAACGTGAGCGTGAGCATGTCCGTGCCCGCTCTTGTGTGGTTGTTTCGCGTTACGCGTTGAATGCTCTAGGAAGTGTTTGACTAGAAGAAAAAAATGAATGATGAAAGTGCGAGGTCGGCTGTAATCTTGTCAGTGTCAGATGAATGAAATCGTAACCGAACAATAAAGGTCGTTCAAAAATATAGTGTCGTCTCAAGGAGCTCAACTCGAATTTTTGCCAAAAATATCTTCTCTCTTTGCTGATCTACACTTGGAAAATGTTTGAAATTGGATCGCGCTAGGCGGGTCGTGTGGACGGCATCGCCATCAAAGACGAGGTCCATTTTTTGGAAATGACATGACATGGAGCAGCGTCCGTGTACATTCACCATCGACAACACCTGCTCACGACAACTGACGCGATTGACCTTGCTGGGGCAAAATAAATACTATCACTCTATCTTTCATCTCCCAAATCCAAAAATTTTATATCCAGGCGACAATTGTATGTAGATGTACTATCGCGGGTCTTCGCCTTCGCGTTGTGTATTAATTTTTCTTTTCCACTTGCTGCTGCCAACACTTCTTATTTCACGTTGTTGTCTTAGTGCTGGTCGTGGGAAAGTATTTTTCCCTCTCTTTTCTTTGATTATGTTGAGGTAGAAGGAAAAAGTAGTAATGCATGCTGCACCAGCAGTGCGGAAATGATTCGAATCAATAGCGACTTGTATCCCGATAGATTTAGATTGTGACTGTGTCTACTGATGTGGTTGGAGTAGTTTTTTTATTGCAACACCTTCTTTCTCGTGATGTCATTTGTCTCATCTTCAGCGAATTTTTTTTAGCGGTCAAAGCACTGCATTGATTGTATTGATGGAGAACAACTTGCTATGTGATACTGCACGACGAGCAGGAATAAGGAGAGAACAGCAAGCACAAAAACTGTTGAGATTCATTTTTTAATATAAAGACTGAGGTGGAAGATATTGTCAAGTAGATGATACGTGTCAAATGGTGCTGCGTGAATTTTTTCGAACCGTGATACATGTCTACAAGACTCGGCAAGAGATGAAATTCGACTAGTTGCTATACTAGCTCTTTTTTACTTGCAAGGTATGGCAATGTGGTGCTTTGTGCATCAACATTCTTGTGATACTGAGAAAATCATTGATGTTGCCTTCTATCCTGATCTTCGATGATACACTATTCTTGATGAACAAAGATATTCGAAGATAGTATTGGTGAATGTAGTATGTGCGCATAAATAGACAGCGGCTAAATTGCATTGATATTGTTGAATACCATTTACTATACGTATATTACTTACGAGATCGTGCTATCTTCGGGAAGCGACATTTGCCGTAACTTCCCTCGCTTTTGGGAGCGACGGTTTCATCAACGACGACGAAAATCTGCAGAACAGCGAAGAAGAGCGCGGCGCTATAGGTTCGTTGAGAACTACATGACCGCTCAGCAACTTTCGCAAACTGTAGTGCAACGAGGAAAAACGAGGCGAAGAAAAACTTCCGACCACTTCACGATTATACCAGCGACGACGATTCAAGAAGTTCTAGAATAGCTGTTGAGTTGCATTTTCAACTCTCAGTCTACAACTCTAAGGGCCCTAAACCCCATCTTCTACATCTCCAACCCCCTTGTCTGGACCTAATAGTTTCATCAAGATCCTTCCTCCAAGATGAGTAGTTCATCTTCTTCTTCGACGAGTTCTTTGGCTCGTAAGATTGCGGCGATGCCAAAGAAGCTAGTCGCAAAGCCAGAAAAGTTCTCCAAAGAAAAAACAAAGCCAGAGAAGTTCGGCAAATATGGAGGCGGCGTTTACGTCAAACCCGACAAGGGTTCCTACGCAGCGACGGGGGTATCTACTGCTGCTGCTTCGAACATCTATCAGCAACATCATGGACATGGAATAGCACATCATGGACATGGAGTTGCTGTGGGAACTACGCAACAGCTAAATGCACATCACAGTACTACAGCAATGCAAGTAGATCTTCCACCACAAGGTGCTTGTGGAAGAATAGGAGAAGAGTTCTACCAACAAGTAGGTTCCTCTTTGCCAACACCTTCGACGACAGAACCGCTTATACTGGGAGACAGATTCTTAGTACTACAAGCTCCGGCACACCAGCAAATGCAAAATAAGCTCATGCGAACGGGCAGTGAAGATTTGTCAACCTGTGTACCAGACTCAAGGCGTGTTTCTACAAGAACCGACCTGACAGATTTAGACATGTCGGAATTGGTGATGAACAATACAAGGCCACATCAAGCACCACAGGAGACAGTCCTCCATCTACAACAGCAACCACATCAAGACCTTCCAGCACCTTCAGCACCCTCTTCAGCACCGCCTGTCGTAGTAGAACAACGTGCGCGGAAGCCATTTTCCTATATGCGAGCTGTGGCTAACGCGGGTCACTCAAGGCAACCAAGCCCAGCAAATAGTGGTGGCTCTCTCTCGGTCTCCACCACTGGAACTGGACCTTCAGCAGGTTCTTCCGCAAGTAGCTCGTCTTGCCAAGTTGGCGGTAGCAGCTCTTCTAGTTCAAGTTCTAGTAGTGGTCACCTAGTAGCTAAGCCAAGAAGTTCCTCAAAGAAATCCAATTCTTCCAAGGCAGTAACAACTGCTTCTAGCGGTAAGAGTGCTGCTAGTAGTAAGAGTGCATCGAGTAGTGGAGCAGGTGGAACTTCTACTACGAAGAAGACGACGAAGAAACAAGCAGCCTCAACTTCTGCGAAAACATCATCGTCAAGAGCGTCGTCCAATAGTGCTGGCACAGCAGTCAGTAGTAGAACCCGTGCTGGTAGTACACAAGGCCAAGCACTAGGACAGGCACAAGCAGGAGGAGGGGGGCACTTAGGTGGAGCCCTACTACAACCCCTGTTACCAGGAGGACCTCTGGGAGGACCAGGAGGACCTTCAGGCGGTGGCCCAGGAGGTGCTGCAACATGGTTCCGAACCTTTTCACCTTCTACAGTCGCGACCTTGCCGAAAGATGCTATGCTAAGGGAAATGGTGGGACAGGGTCTTGTTTTGCCAACGGAAGCGCCGTTTCTGAGCTCTCATTGGTCAAAAAATCCACAGAGGGTGGACCCGGCTGCATTAGAAAAGGCCCTTGTGGAAGAATGGGGTACTACTCTACTCTAAATGAATCTCTAGTACATAGGTAAAGGTTGATCATATCACTTCGATAGATTTTGATTCTCGTTTTGTCAAGAACGCTGAAGCACAACTACAGCACAAGTGGTGTCATGAAAAATACAGTCTGTCATGAAAAATACAGTCAGCACAACGTCTCATCTCTCATCATTGATTCTCTATCTCATTTCACTCAATATAGAACTGGACAACTTTTCAAGCGAGAAGGCGAAAGATCCTATGAAACGGAGTGCGGTTCTAAACCGCTACAAATGGGAGAAAGCACAAGCAACAGTGGACATTGCATACGAAAGAAAGAAGGAGAATATACCGAAAGGGTAATAGAAGATTACACTCACCGCTTTATTTATGACTTTTTTGCTGTTGCTGCTGGTATACGACTACGATGAGATGAAAAATAGTTTATAGCTCACTATGGGTATGGTGCACAACATGATAAATATTTTCTTTCGCTATCATCTTATCTTCGCAACCAAACAGAACTCGGAATCTGAACCCGGAATTCTTCGAAATCATGGTTGTGAGCTATATCCAGATCGACGAAGAGACAAGAGGATTTGGCCTCGCGAGGCACATCTTAACAAGGGCCCTCGAGGCCGCGGCAAGAGATAGCGATCAGGTACTATTACTTAGAAGTTGATGTTTTTGGATCTCTGATTGTCGTGCCTAAATGAATGTGTTGCATAGAAGTAGTACTTTCTGTTGATTCACCCTATTCTGAACCAACGACCACTCTCAACATGCCACTAGACCTCACCCTGCCACCACCACCACCACCACCACCACCACCACCACAAAACCAGTCACCTTGCTCAACCACTAATACTAATTCCTCAAGGTCATTTCCGGCATTCGTTTTCGGATACGACCTTCTGCCTCGGGTGTGGAGGGGGGTGTTGCAGCTGAGCATGCTAGATTGGCATATTTGTATTGCAGAGCCTCAATGGATTTGGAATTTATATGGCGGAAGACGGTCTTCTCACGGACAGGTGGGAGAGCAGTAGAAATACTGCTCACCAAAGACCGAGATATCATGGAAAAAATCAGCTGACGATGATTGACGACTAATCCTCCTGTGGTTATGCTTAAGCACGTTGTTGTTGGTCTATGGTTTTATCTTCATGCAATGCATACTGTTCCTGTATGATCAATTCAAGATATCTTCGACGCGCCACTATGGAATATCCAAATTAAGTACGATCCCACACATAAATACTTACGCCAGTTGATTGTGATCGACCATCGCTTATTGGGGAATACCCGTAACTTCTGTCGTGTCCACCTTATCACGTTGAGATGAAGATACTTTGTGCAATACCTGTTGTGCAATACCCTTCGTTTTATAGATCTTTATCGTCATATGAATGTGCTCTGCTGTGAAGTACCTGCTAGATAGTACCTCGTCGTCTATGGGAAACCTGAAACAGTGTTTCCCTTCTATTTGCGAAAGCTTATGATTTGCGGCCGCGCCAACGCCAACCATCATACTATACGTATAGAAATATAGAAGTACAGTATAACATTGACATTGCTGTGTGTTAAGTATGTGTGTCAACATAACTATAGGGAGAAGGTGTTCAAACTAGCTAGGGGAGAGCATGGTGAGCATAGACTGCCCATGGGTGGAGGTCGTGGTCTATGAGATCCAGGCGTTATGATTTGTCGTGATGCTATATTGATCTCTGACATCATGAGATACCACTTACCAGAGATCTCTGACATCATGAGATACCACTTGCTATATTGATCTCTGACGTCATGTCGACTTTCTACCACTTACAACAGTACTACATAGATGATGAACGAGTAGCTAGGACCACTATAAGTTGGTTTGTGATCATTCGATTATAGATTCACTCACATCTTGGTCTGCATCTGCTACTTTATCTCTGTCCTGTTACTGTTGTAGTAAAACTTCTGGTAGAAGGCAACAACAAAAAATCTCCGAGTAAGACTTTTCAGATTGGTGAAAAGCATTGTTGTAGTTTTCTTTCATGATGCATGAAATGAACATAAAGTCTGCGACGTCTTCCAACTTTTGGCCAACATGCTGGCCGACCTTGACGTCCTTGCGACTTGACACTTCTACGTCCCATTATGGTGACGTTCTTGCGACAACGAACGCGATAAAGTTATTGCAACTTTATGAGAATATCTGCGGGAAGAGCGCGCATAATTATACTGCAATTCTTATAATGATTTCTAAATTTCGTCGAGCTCAAGACGGAGGCCGGAGCTGGGGGCTCATATGTCTTTATGAGACCTCTTCATATCTTCTTGTGTTCTGCTTCCTTCTTGTAAGTCATCATCAACGTCCTACTTGTGATTTTGATCATACAAGACTGAAGTCTGATGTTCAAAATGCGTGTCTCAACACATCACTTGGACATTTGGCGGATCTCAGTTATCAACACGGATCTTGCTGTGAAAGACTGTACTGTGAAGGATAGCATGCTTCTACGATGGCGTGCTCTGATGTACCTACAAGTCTCTTCGTAGAGATTGATTGTGCTGCGCTGATGTGCAACGACACTGATTGTGAAGCGTTGATGTAGTGTGACACATCGCATCCATCCGTACATAAGTGCCACGTCCACCAGTGGCATTGCCACAGCTTCCTTGCAACGTGCGCCATTGATGATACAGTCTTTCTCCCTTTTGTGATCGCTTTTTCGATCTGAGGTTGCAGCGTGAAGATGGCCCCAAAAGATATCCCCAAGCAACTTCTACATTTGATACGTCATTTTCATCCTCCGGTCAAGAAATGACTCACACAGATCTCAACCTTCTTCCGCCAAATTTGTACACTTCTATTAGCCTACTTCTTTTCCTTTTCTCCTTCTTTTATGCTAATTCCTCCTTTGCACTTTTTCTCATGGTTTCTCATCATGTCGACTCTTTTTGAAAGCATTCTCAGCGACATTTCTGTAGGATCGCAGTCCAGTTCCCACTTTCGGCATTTGCGGCCTGCAAGCTCAAGAAATGACTCATGCAGATCTCAGCCTTATTGCTATCCGCAACGTTATCTTTCTTTAAATTTTCTAGTCGTGTTACTAGTTATCTTTCTCTTGTTTTGTCTCCATATTGGTGGAGGTCTTGATATGATGTACTTCGAAGTCTAATTACGAGCGTTGGAGGAATCATTTCTACTTTAATTATAGACTAGAAGATAGAGAAGTTGGAATCATTTCTACTTTCGTGCCGAGAAAGACTCTTAGCTATTTGAAGTAGAGTGTGACATTCGAACTCTAAAGACTCTAGGTCGCCGTCGCCAAAAGTCATATTCGAACTCTACAGACTCTAGAGTAGAAATGTTAATTCGAGTAGAAGACTGAGCCATATTTATATGCAGTTTGTAAAGCCCGCTGCACATAATTGAAATATGATAATTCCACAAGAAAGTCATCACCTCGATATGAAACACGTTCTACCATAAATTCTTCTACCTTGTTGATCTTTTTCTAGTTATAGTAGCACAATGTACAACAAGTAATACGAGGGGAGCGACGATGAAGATGAAGGGAGATACTGCTGTTCCGAGGGGAGCGACGATGAAGGGAGATACTGCTGTTCCACGTGATACGAGGGGAGCGACGATGAAGGGAGATACTGCTGTTAATACGAGGGGAGCGACGATGAAGGGAGATACTGCTGTTCCACGTGATACTGTTCCACGTGGACCGGAATTGGAGACTCCTAGGGTCCGAAGCCAACTAGAGGATCCAGACACCGCTTTACGTTACAATTCTAGGAGAAGTTCGCTGACCTTCGACCTCGGATCGCCTACGACCTCGGAAAGTAGCAGGGAGGCGAATGTAGGAGCTGTCGTGATGAGTGGGAACAATGCGGATCCAGCAGGAGCAGAAAGTAGTGCAAGTAAGGAGCTCGCGGAGAAACTCAAAATGAAAGAACAAGCACGTGGAAGACGTCCAAGGCAGATACGAGAAGAAAGCAATAATCGAGATCCGGCACCTGCAGAAGGCAATCGAGAGCCCCCACCCGGCAGAGAGAGTCGAAGCGCTAGCGGTAGCGCTGCGAGCAGGGCACCAGGCGAGCACCAACCCGGCAGACAGAGTCTAAGCGCGGCTCGCGGTAGCACAGTCGTGCCTCTTCTTGCTGCTGGCGGTAATGCTACGGCGACGACAAGTGCAGATCTTCTAGGAGCAGATGAAGAAAATGGTACTCCCGGGCTCCTTCCTTCTGTGAGCCCGGGAGGAGCATTTTCTTCATCTCCTGCGGCGCCGATATTAGAACAAGGAGCATCATCCTCGTCTTCTTCAAGCTCATCTTCTCCTTCTCCAAATGGCAGTCTAGAAAATCAACCTGCGAATGGTGCCATCTACCATCGGGCGCGGGTTGTCCCAACTATCCTCGACGGTTACGATTACGACAATTTTTCTGCAGCTAGCAGTCATCAGATTTCCTCAGGCTTCTATCCGAGGTCACCGATACCAGACCGACTTGTGCGCAGCTTACCACGCATGCAACGATATCATAGTGTAACAAACTACTACAGTACAACAACCCCTGGAGGTTGTAGTTTTGATGATTACAACAGTGTGCCACTACTGCCAAGTCCGAACAATGCTGATCTTCTACCACATCATGTAAATGAAGATCCTAGTTATTCTTCTAGTAGTACAGCAAGGACAAGGCGAAGTTACAACACCGGCCGTGTTGGTCCTACAATGATGAATCTTGATCTTCATCCGAGTATTTCCTCTAGAAGTAGCTCGTTGTATCACACTGCGCTCTCTGGAAGACCAAGACCTGCTCCTCTAGTTGCTACAACAGACGTCGGAGGACGGCCTGAACCTCAAAGACGACCATCTGTTCCACAGCCAAGACGACCCTCAGCAGACATGCTTCATTTGCCTGCTCCTGGAGGTACGGGCGCAGGTGGCATGTTACGGCAACAAGAACAACCTGCTTTCGGAGGTAGAGTTGTGCCACAACCTTCGGTTCGGGGAGCAGACGGTAGAGGAGGAAATCTAGAAGCACAGCTACGATCTAGTGCACCTTCAAGAGTAGGCGTGCTAGGAGCCCCACAGGATCCACAACATATTATGGATCAGAATAGAGGTGCAAGAACATCAAGACCACGTCCTACACCAACTGAGGTAGAACACGAAAACTTGCAACAACCTCCTACGTCGACAAGAAACGGCATGCGACGTGCTACGCCCATGATGCCGACTTTCATGAACACCGGAGGACACACAGGACTACCGCCTGCTCCTTTTGCAAGGCATAGCGTTTCCGGACGTGGCCCGAATATGGTAGTCTCGCCAGAATTTGGCCCCACTCGAGAAGTTTTGTCTCGAAGCTTCCCCCGAAGAGGAGTGTCGCCACTGGCAGATAGGTGTCTCCAGATGGATGATCTTGGTCGCACTGTAGAGCGGAGAAGAAGATCCTCTACGGGTGGTCCAGAGTTTGACTGTCTTCAGTATCCTGCTCAGTTTGGACGAAGAGCGGTGAACTTAGAAAATAGAGGCGAACAAAATGGATTAACCAGAAGAAAGCCAGTACTTAGAGAAGTACTTCTGCCAGACGAGAACAATAGTGCACCTCCTGGTCGTGATTGTGCGAGCGCATCTGCAGAACAATCCGAGGAGCTCACGAGTATGCCCAATCCGGCGACACAAGACGATGTAAGCCAGCGCAGTGACGCCCCTGGTAGTCAGTCAAGGAGTCAGGACCATCAGGCGGAATACCCCGCGACCGGAGCAGCGTCGTTGCGACCAGGCGGGACTAGATTCGCGTAATTGCTTGTTTCTCTCTTGTTTGGGTTTTTCTCCTCTTCGGCTGTCACAATTATTCGACACCAAAAACTTTATTCTGACATCAGCGACGCGGCCCTTTTTTAGCTCCGCTGAACAGAAAAGCAGACGTCTTTTTAACAAACACACAGAAACATATTTATCAGGTTATCGCACTCAAGTCTGGAAGAGTATCCTTCAATTGTGGCTCGGTACCAATCCGAACTAAAATACGAGTATGGTTTCGTAGCGTCCAGTAATAACGGAACGACGACGAGTGACTTCCTCTATCACACCAGTCCGAATCCCGAAGTGACGACGCCGGATGTGGATATTATTAGCTCGGATGTTATTGTTGGCGGCAATACGACAGATCATGATCTTCATCAGCCAGCTCGGGTGAATCAGCAAAAGCATGAGAACAAGATCCTTGGAGGAGAGCAGCAACAATCTTCACCAATCAACATTACACAACGAGAGGAAGATGTCGTTGAGGTGGAAGAGTACCAAGAAACGGCTGAGCAGCACTTGCGAAATTTGCAGCAACAGGAGGAGAGGCAAGTAGACTACAACAACGCTCACCACCAAGGTGCACTGGGCGTAGAGGAGCTTCAAGTGCAGCATCAGCATGTTGTTTCGAAACTCCAACAGCAGTACCACACTGCTGCGGCAGGCGGAGTACTCACGTCGCCCCGACAAGGGGGCTCGCCTAGCGCAAGACAACAAGTAGGGGTCGTGGTAGGTCAATCGTCACCACAACGCATCGACAATATTATCGAGCGAGAAGGCTTTAGTACTCCTGGACAGCAACAACAGCTTTTCCCACCTGAAGGAGATCAGCTTATTGATGTTGATCAGCAAGAACAATCTGAGCCTCTTCTGAAAGTAGGAGCGTCTCCACGGAATGAAGACTTATTTCCAAGTCCCACGCCGTCTGCAAGTAGTGCCATGACAGCCACACCAACGACTTGGATGAAGAACTATAACGATGTTGGTACTGTAGCACAAATTCCTGCAACACCCACGCAATTGATGGGGACAGCTGCCCCAGCACAGGATGTTGTAGTAGGTTCACCTCCTGCTTTTCAGCAACAACTTTTTAACAATAAAAGTACTTCTAGAGGACCTTCTTCGACCTCGAAGGTGCCAACGACAGTGCATGTTTTGATCGGCTGCCTCGTGGTGCTTGCTGTAGGTCTCATTGTCGTGATAGTATGCCTCGTGCAGCGAAACAGAAGTCTGGGTGGAACACCACCGAATTCATCTTCACCAAACGCATCTTTAATGATGTCACCAAGGCCTATGGTAAGAGGGCGAGGAGGTGGAACACTACATCAAGGAAGTTTTAGTGGAGGAAGTTTTAGTGGAGGAACTACTACATCAAGTGGAGGATCTACGACTTCGTCTTCTAGTGCTGGTATCGGTGGAGGTGGAGGTGGAAGTTGCTCAACATCTAGTGTTCCTTATAGCTCAATAGGAGGAGCAGGAGTGTCGGCAGGAGGCTCACGAGGAGGCTCAGGAGGGGCAGGCGCTTCTTACACTTCCACAGGAGGAGGAGCACCGGCAGGAGGAGGCGCTTCTTACACTTCAACAGGAGGAGGAGCACCGGCAGGAGGAGCACCGGAAGGAGGAGGCGCTTCTTACACTTCTACATCATCTGTTGCAGGAGGCTCAGGAGGAGCTGCAGGAATACAACTAGGAACACCTTTACCCACCTCACGAGATCGAATGCCGCAGCTCCCTAGCTTTGACGAAAATGCTGGAGAATTGTCCCTAGTTTCGGGAGGAGCACCTTCAAGAACAACAACTGCCTCCAAACCGGGGGAAGCAGGTTTTAGCAGCCAAAATCCTAGCACACCAGTACCGAGACGAACAACGTCTCGCTCTAGATCGGGACAGAAGGTGAGACGAACGCCGCCCATAGGGAATGAAGGAAGACGGGAACGAAGACGCAGTGGCAGTCTTGGGAACTACATGAATCATGTTGAAGAACATCCAGTTCAAGAGAGGCAAGGACATTCACATTATAGACAAGGTGGACAAGGTGGAGGTGCTTCCCAATTTCCACAAGCAGAACAGCATCACCATCAACGTAGTTCGGAAGGTGGAGAGCTGCGACAGAGGGAACAACAGCATTCTTCCCATTCACGTGGCTCAGTTCCACAGCAGCAACAGCAGCATCTTCGTAGACACAGTCCTGCAGCAAGACACAGTCCTGCAACTAGTGAAGGAGAAGAGCAAACCGGAACACAAGTAGGCGCTCCATCTACGTCTACTCCGCCGATGGTGCATCAACGAAGTCATCAAGGTTGCACAAGTCCAAATCGAAACGATGAGGCTCATCATGTATTGGATCTGACTACAACTTTATCCTCGAGTAGTAAGTGTAGACCTCGAAGTAACAGCTACCATGCCTTGATAGTAGATGCCACTGGACGGCAAGGTACTTTGCAAGGCACTCCTCAAGGTGGCCTGCCAGCGCGTATAGTTTTTCCTGCGGGGAGCGAAAAGCGTCACTCCTCGCCAGTTTTAATCTATTCAGCTCCACCTCAGTCCGGTGAGCACTCGTTGCCTCAGCAAGCCACAATGCTGTTCCTGCAGAGGACGCCAACGCTTCAGCCGCATGCCATGCCGCAACAGCAGCAACAGCCAACAATGCCGCAACCTTCAATGCCGCAACAGCAACAGCAGCAGCAAGCTCACGCGGTTAGCAATTCTGGCAGTACTTCTAGGACCGCAGCATGTCAACCCGCGCATACCTACGAATTACAGCATGCTTCTACTTGTGAACAAGAAATGATACAGGTGGAACAGATGAAACAGAAACACGAACTACGGATGAAACAGGAAGTAGAATGCAATAAACGCAGACGCACATTGTCGGGCGATTCTGCTGCGAGTACGGCAGTGCCTCCAAGCACAAACTACAATCCCTCCACATGCCCTACTTCCGGGACTACCATGGGAGCCATGTCGCCACCTAGTTTCGTTTAAGGCTAGTTTCTCACTATCCCGCGTGGAGTACTATGCTACGTGGAGCCTTCCCTGGTTTAAAGGGGAAAATAGGGGGAATCAATCATGCATGGCATCTAACTCAACCAGGGAAGATAGTGAAAAACTCGCGCTAATAGTGAAAAATTGCTTCATCGCCTTCGCCTCTCTTGCCAGCTGCAGCCGAAAGTCCAAGCCGGAGCCCGAAGAGAGAGGAATTTAATTCTAGACAGGTACCTTCAGGTCCTAGTCAACTCCTACAACAGGCTCTAAGATTGCGATGGGACGGAAGTGGACATGAAACCTATCATGATTAAGGCTTCCTTTAATTCATCTTGAGAGGCATCCTGGAGCCTTTTCCTGAGGGGAAAGCACGCCAAAGATGCTCTCCAAGATGAATTAAGGCAAGCGCTAACATGAAAGAACTCAAAATTCTCAAGGTCTTCACGGCGTAGATAGTGGAATAGGAAATCTTCAAGGTCTTCAGGGCGTAGAAGCAGGAGATACTGGAGTAGGAGATGACGTGTTGGAGCAGTTGCCTGAACACATTGATGTCGGAGCGTTACTTAAGGCTCAACTTCTATTGGTCACCATTTAGAGTTGAGTCACTGAGATCGAAGAGGGGCCTCCTTGAGAGAACAGGGAAAAACTGAGGGAAAACAAGGTGAGAGATGTGGGGCCCCTCCCGGTCGGAGTCAGTGACCAATGAGTGCGGCCCTTTAAGTTGCTGCAGTTGATGCAGGGTGGCCCAATAGTGGCCCCTTGTTCGGGTGGGGCAATGATGTCGCCAATCATATCCGCTGTTGATACTATGGTCATGCCAGACTCACCGAGTAGAGCTTATCACGATCCGTACCTCGACGGTAATGGAGGTACCACCTCAGAGGATGACGATAACGGACGGCAGCACTCGGACGTGGCTTATGATGTTGAAAAAATAACTATTTTTGATGTTATACAGCTCTCTGTCCTGTGTTCGGGATTGTTTCATGGTTTCTATCCCGAACACTGGACATTTGGTTGACTATCTAAGGTTTACTCGCCCATTTTCGATGTTATACAGTTCTTGTTACAGAAAATTCCCTATGATCTCTCCACTTCCCAAGTTAGTCATAGCGTATTGGTTGTGCGACTTTTAACACGCCTCTGTTTTTCATTGCTTTTAGAGACAAAGGAACGCTAGTATCATGAGATGAGGTTTGTCATCTCCGTCTGACCATCTCTAAGAAATATACGTTGAGCCAGTCCCTCCGCATAGCGAAGTGGACATTCTTGACGGTTTTTCGTTGACATTATCTGAACAAGACCAAGGAGCGGACCTCGGCTCCCTCAGTGTGACAGGAGCTCCGTCAGTTACGGGTAGTCGATGAATCACTATCGAGATCTCTTGTGTGAGCAGGTTTGTTCCTGGGCGACGTTTCTTTCCCCTTGGCAGATTTTCAGGACCTGACTCAACCGCGGATAGTGATTCACTAGACTTTTAAGCAGACAGGAGGAGGTGACGACGCTCAGTCAGTAGGAGGTGGGGACTCTTCAATAGACGCTCTACGTACTTATTTGGACACGCAAGGAGATCATCTGTTAAGGCTCAACTTTCATTGGTCATCGCTGTTGGTCTCTGACTCTGATATCAAAGAGGAGACCCCCTGAGAGACCAGGGGAAAACTAAGGGAAAAAAGGGGAGCTGTGTAAGGGGCCTTGTCCCTTCAGCATCAGTGAGCAATGAATGTCGACCTTCAAATCTAGTCACCAATGTAGATGCAGCAGCACAAGTACTGACAGAGGCACAAAAAAAAGCGGCCAAGAATCGCGAAGGAGCGCCGTCTGACTAGCAGTGATTTAGTGCACGAAGGAAAGCAAGAAATCGTGGAGCAGGATTGCCGTCTGACCAGTAGAGCAGGATTGCCTGCGTTGGTTTTGGCAGAGTTTTATAAACGAAGTATATGGACAATGTCCTCATTTGGAAAAAACCTACTATACAACCGATTAATGAAAATATAATACAACTGTACTAGTTACGTATTTTTTTTTTCGTACACTAACTATACCAAAAGATACTAGCGCCAGAAAAAAATATAATGATCGGCGATTGAAATGACGCCTCGCTCAACATTACTTGGGTCTTAGAGATTTGACAATTTGCATCAAAATTTTCTTCTGAGTTTACAACAACGACTTACTTTAGTGTTTACACTAAAACGTTAAGAATGAAAAGGAATAGATTCGCTTAGAGGCTCTCGCCGCGCGCAAGAAAATGTATGAGAATTCGTTAGCTTCCATTTCTATACATCTTATAAGCGCAGTAGAAAAGAAGGGCCGATGTTGCCAGATCATTGCTTACCCGAAGAAGACAAAGCGACAAAGCGTTGCGTTAAGGTGAAGTGCAGATGAGGAAAATGCAGATGGTGTGTTAACTTTGAAGCGCTTTTTCACCTCACACTGTAGGAAGGTATACCGCAATAGAGGACTAGAGTCTGACGTCTTTGCCTTACACTGTACGAAGGTATACCGCAATGATCTCGCCAATTTTGGTCCACGTTGTAACTACACTGTGGTTCTTTTGAGGGAAAAAAGTTCGTCGAGATCTTGGAGTGCGCACCATCATCATCTTTTGTTGTCGATTTATTTTTTTTTGTATTGACGCTCGCTCCTACGTCGAGTAGTTTTACTTGTTTCGTCATATGTTCATGTTGTCCATCACCGACAAAAAAAATGTTGCTGGCCAAAGCGCCCGCGTGCGCAAGAGAGGCTGTATTCACCAGGATCCCCCTTTGTGCTAGAAGTGCAATGCGAACGAACAAGCGTGCGTTGCGTACTTCTGCTAGAAACAAGACATCAAGGGTTCAGAGCAATGCTGCTGATCGAGAAGATGAGGCCTCAGAGGTTTTTGGAAGTTTTGAAAACGACCAGAAGGAGTCTCAACGACGAAGTAGGCGACCTGCTGTGGGTCCCAAGGAGACGGTGGTTGCAGCTATGCAACAGTTTTATAGAAGTTGTGCTAAAGAACATCTTCCAGCTGCAGCAGTACAACCACAGCCACAGGGACAAGAACATCAACAATTAGTAGACTTTAAGAACATACAACAAGTACAAGACACAACTTCATCTCCACCTAGTTGTACATCAAATTTCTGTACTAGAAGTATGGAGCGGGAAGCCCTAGTGTACCTCCAGCATTTCCATGCTTTCGCGGAGGAGACTTGCGGCGCCAGCTCTTCAACGCGGGTTGCAGTGAAGAAAGCTGTATTGTTTGCAGTAGAGAATCTGGAAATAGATCGATTGGTGAAAACTATGATCTCACCAGGAGGAGGAGCCTCAGGAGCTGGCGTACGTCCGTTATTACGATTATGCGAAGCAGAGTGTCCAGTAGCTATGCCATCCAAGAAAGCAGCGCGTAAACAAGCTGCGGCATTGACGGACCATACGAAGCCAAAAGCTGTAGTAAAAAGTCGCGATAAGGGGAAGAAGGAAGCTGGCAATTTGGCGAAAATGGGAGGATCGCATGATTATGGCTAGAACCACTACATCAAGACGATCTATACACGGCTCTTTTCATTTTCTGGCTTTATCCAGCGTAAAAATAGTGTTGTCGAGTTGTGGCTGAAGCCCATGCTACTCTAATCTTTCTCCCCCAGCTCACCATCCCAGGCGAAAACTTTATCCGCCTTACAAGAACAGCAGCTTCTCATGAGCGAGAACATGGCCTTGCGCATTGTCTACTCCGCCAAACGACTTAGGAGATTTTTGCAGCAGAGTGAAATCCTGACCTGTCGTGGATGCTCCAAAAGACTTCGCTGTCCCATGTTCAAGAAACCGGCACCGCCAGAACCAACTACAGCAACTTGTGCTGACGTCGTGAAGATACTTTTTGGCCTAGCGCAGTACTGCAGAGGGTACTTGAGACTGTTGGCGAATTGTAGTGCAGGAGACTTCTCGAAGGAGGTAGACGAGAACACAGCGAAACGAGTGGCGGCTGGGTTGTACCCTCTTCTTTATGCGGATAGGGATTGGTAGTTTTGTGAACATGATCTTCACATGAATATTATTTACAGAAGTAGTCCGTCTAACGTAAATCCATTTTCCAAATAAATTGTCCGATGCGCGCAGCTCACCCCTCGTTTCCAGTTTCTAATACCTGTCGTCCTCTTACCAGACTCAGGCATCATTGACCTTGCCGGGATCTTCAGTTTCAGGGAGCTCATCAGCATCGTCTTCGGTGCAACCACCAACAACAAGATCTCTCTTACAAGATGCTACGATAGTTAAGGCTCAACTTTCGTTGGTCACCATTTAGATTGGTCTCTGACATCAAAGAGGAGACCCCCTGAGAGAACAGGGGAAAACTAAGGGAAAACAAGGGGAGCTGTGTAAGGGGCATTTTTCTTTCAGAATCAGTGGCCACTGACTGCTGACCTCTAATATAGTCTTGCGTCAATTGGGTGAAGTAGTAGCCGCAGATCAAGCACAGTTGAAATGTCGGGGTGAGTCCCGTTTGCTCGCTGATGTCCCCCTAGCCGATGTGGAGACTGCTAAAGAAATAGCCGCTGGCATTTCGGAGAAGAAAGAGAAGATGCGCTTAGATAAGAAGGAAGAACAACTTTTGAAACTTCCACCTTGGCTGAGGGATTCTATGCGACCGGTCATATCCAAGCATATGAGTGCGAGGCAGAAGTTCGTCCTCAGACAAAGAGAAAAAGCGGAAGCAGAGGCAAGACGAGAAGCCAGCGGACAGGAAGAGCTGTTTGAAGTGGAGGACGGGAGTGCTCTCGATGTTGACACTTTGGTTGCGGCAGAAACCGAAAAAGCAAAGAAAGCTTCGGGTGCTAGCTTATCGGCTTTAGCACAGAACCAGAAGGGAGGAGAAAAAGTTTGTGATTCCACTTCTTCATCAAGGAACGAGACTGCTGATGGATTGACTACTCCCGTCTCTGCCGATTTAGCTGGTATCCCGATTCCAAAACGCTTCGAGGAAATAAAGAGGGCACATAAAGTCGATGCAATCGTGGAATTCAACGCAACCTATGAGAGGTATGTGAAGGGTATCTCGCGACGTCGTCAGCGTGTGAATGTGAGGAAGCCGGAGGATCCGATTATAGACCTTGATGCTTACTGGGCCAGTTGTTGTGAGGCAGAGCAGGAAGCGGAGATGAAAGAGGGGAGGAACAACATGGCTGAAGAACAAACTTTAGGAAGCACCTCAAGAAGGGTCGTGGTTCCAGAGAGTACAGAAGATGCTTCAGGAAAGCTGGCAACTGGAGAACGTCGAGAACATCAGAGGGAGAAAAATGTAGATGACTATCTCAGCGGCGAGGGCCTTGACGAATTTGTGACGTCCTTGGATAGCACTGGTGCGGATGCTAGAGTAGAATCGGAAGCATACTCGGAAAACACGTTGGCTCCAAAGCCTGAAACGATAGTAGAGCTCTCATCCGACACGTCACAAGAACAGAGGCCCCTTTCAATTGTTGATCGACTTTTCGCTAGTTTTAGCAGAAAGGATGCCGGTACAGGTACTGGTGAAGGTAATTGTGGGACAAGTTCAAGTACAAACTCGACTGGAGATAGAAAAGGTCCGACTGAGTTGGTTCGCGGTGGCTACTCGAACTTGAACCTAGCAGATCCAGGAGCATTTGCGAATTTGCCGGCTGCGGCGAAAGAAGCGATCTGCCCTTCTCCACGGGCTTTATCTGGTGTGCATGTGTATCGCAATAGTGCGCATGTCGGAGTTGGCGATGTGGAATGCAAAGCTACTCAACAGCAACCAGATGAAGCGAGTGGGCCTCTTCCTACTTCGACCACAACAGGACCACAGCCGATATCCAGTTCAATTTTTTCAGCCGCGCAAGTCGCGAGGGTGTGGGAGAAGGGACTCGATTTTTTGAAGCCAGTCGTGTTTGATGAACCTGCTACTCGATCCGGTGGGACCATGCCAGATAAGACATTAGCTTTAGCTTTAAAACACAGAGATGGTAGTGATCCGGCAAAGTTGCCAAGGGTATCGGATTATCCAGGAGCCTCGGCTTTGTCATCGTCAAAATCGAAAAGCAAAACCGCTGTGGTGGAGAAAGCAGCATTTGTTAAGGTCAGCTTTTATCCATCTTTCTCGGCATCTCGGTACCCTTTTTCCTTGTATTCTCATGAAATACAAGGTAAAAGGGGTCAAGATTAGGGGGGCGAGATGCAATCTAGCAGACTCTAAATTTGGGTCTACTATACAAGGTGGACCTATACAAGGTGGACGTGCTTCGGCCTCATCTTCTATGACTAAACAAGGAAGCGACTTTGGTGGACAGGAAAAGAGAGACCTGAGTGACGGTGAAGACCCATCGGACGAAGATGCTAGTTCTGATTCTGGTATTCAGTTAGATCGTAAGCTTGCTCAATGGAAGGAGAAGGAAATTAAGGGTAGGTTAAAGGTGCTTTTCTTACCGCTTTTTTTGCTTCTCCGAAGGGAGAAAGGCATAACAAGCGGGGTAAGCGAGCACCAAAAGCCTACCTCTAAGGAAAGACGCAGCACAAACTACGAAGATATTGCTAGAGTGATGAAAACGGATCACCCTTTTCGTCAGGCTAATTGGATGAACGACAGTACAACTAGAGAGCAAGAACACATAGACGGAGTTCGACATGGAGGAGCAAAGGATTGTACTAGAGGCCGAGGAGGACATGAAGATCCAGACGAAGACCGCGACAGGCAAGGAGCTCCGCTTAGTGGAAGAACCTCTCGACGTGTCGTTTTCCCTGAGCTTCCGGATGTGGAGGCCGATTGGCTCAACCAAAAATCCACGACAAAAGCTCGGTCGTCGGCCTGTGTGACGCGCACTAGAGCTGATAATATGCATGGTCTCAAGCAAATGCGCTTGCCTGAGACGTTGAAAGGCTACTACAAGGGGAATAATCGGGGAAATGCGACACCTGGTAGTATAAGTTAAGGCTTACCCTAATCCATCTTCTGAAGCATCTTAGACCTGTCCCGTAAGGGGGAAATAGGTCCAAGATGAATCCCGCGATGGATTAGGGTGAGCTCTTCTAAATAAGGGGACCAACATCAGTGGGTGGTGTGCATGGTGGTCGACATTCGACGTCTTTTGGAGACCAGAACATGCATGATGATTCTGACCAAAGCTTTGCGCCACAAGAAAAAAAAGCGACAGCTGTGCAGTTGCAACGCATACTGAATAATCATCTAAAAGACCGGAATAAACGGTTTCAAGTAGCGAGAACATCGAAGGGCGCAAGGATGTGAGATAACAAAAACACAATGAAAATCGCATATAATTCGGGTTGATGATTGCTGGGCCTGTGGGGAGACCGAGCTGGTGCTCGACATTCATCAAAATTTAACGATACTCAACTACCACTAGACGGATTCAACATTATCATTCAAATGCACCTCTTTTCACCAAAACTCATAAACAAATGCTATCACTGAAGTTGTACGTAGTATGGATTTCTATAATTTCATCACACTTCGCCTTCAATCAAACTATTCAAAAGGAAATGAACCAGGACAAGCGCGAGCCACCAAGCAAAGTCTTTGATCAGAAAGTACAAGTAGTTCGATCCAATCGAAGAAACCATAACCACTGGAATCCAAAAAAAAGGTGGAAATGTGCTGACGCAGACAGCCAAAAAAGTGACACAAAGTGTTTCTGTTGAAGGTGCGGCTGGAACAAAGGCTTCTGAAGGTTCACCTGGAGGTACGGGAGGTCCAAACAAGTCTACTCCTGGAACAACAACAACTGCGCCTGAAAGTACAAGTAGTTCGATCCAATCGACAAAACCACTGGAATCCGAAATTTCTCGTCTCGAAATATGGCGCACAGGTTCTACTTACGTCAGGGACAACGTAGGTGATCGTCTTGTCTACAGTGACAGAAACAGATCAAAGACAGAGCAAAGATGGATCAGTGACAGATCAAAGACAGAGCAAAGATGGATCAATGACGGACCAAAGACAGATCAAAAATGGATCAGTGACAGACTAAGGATGGATCCAAGAGGCATCGAGCTGATCTGAGTGGCTCAGGAACTCAACCCTTTAGTGCTTTTGCGTTTTGTGTTACATGCCATTGACAAGAGCAATATCTATGTTGAAGTATCGTCATCCTCCCTTCTATCAGAATTTATATAATAAGACCTACTATTTCAAGACTTCGACTTTTTTTAGGACTTATTTTGTTACAGTAAATTAAAAAGAAAGGATAACCATTGATTTAATAAATTTATTACTCTCAGCAATTTTCCTTTGTTTAGAGACATATCAAGTGTTCCTCCTCGGTTCATCAACATTATTCTCAGCACATCTTCGTTCCTCATTGTTTGGATATCTTTTCTAGATTGGATTTGACATAGCATTTGCAGCATTTTCTTGTCCTTCTTCACAACTCCAGTTTTTATTCTACAATTCCGTATATTTTTTCTAGATAAATTTGACGAACAAAATGGTACTAGCACAGGCAAGAGGATGCTCTTGGCTCTTCATGAGCCTAGCCGTTTTCGAAACATGCATCTGCGTTACGGGAGTGGATGCTGTAAAGCTTCGCGCTTCATCGCCATCGTCTACGCCTCCTCCGGGTTCTTTTGTAGGAGTTGAGGCTGCTGGGTTTCGCTCTCGCACTCCTTCTCCTAATCGTGCGGGAAGTCCTGTGCCGCCGGGTGCTTCTCGTGGAGGTGCATCACCTAAGTCCCCGCCTCCGGCACCGCCTCGGGGTCCAAGGAAAGAAGTAGGATGGACGCAACGTCCCTCTCCAGCAGTACTGTGGTCACACAACAAGGGCATATTTTTAGGAGGTCGGGGAGATGGAGAAGAAACAGTTCTTGGAATGAAGATGACAGGAGAGGCGTTTCATCAGGGGTTGACTGAGTGCAATATTGCGCTGACATGGGACAAAGATACTGTAGCAGAGATTCGTACGGTGCAGGGATCGCCAGCAGCAAAGGCGTCAGCATCCCGGTCGTCAGCTTCAGCATCCCAGTCGTCAGCTTCAGCATCCCAGTCGTCAGCTTCAGCATCCCAGTCGTCAGCTTCAGCATCCCAGTCGTCAGCTTCAGCATCCCAGTCGTCAGCTTCAGCATCCCAGTCGTCAGCTTCAGCATCCCAGTCGTCAGCTTCAGCATCCCAGTCGTCAGCTTCAGCAGCACATGGACCTGAGCAACTACCGGCATTAGAACAAGAATTGGTGTACAACGGAGTGTACCCACCTGCAAAAGAGTGTGTAGTGTGCTTACAGCGTCTTCCGAGCTGTAAGTACTCGCCGTGCGGACACCAAGTGACGTGTGCAAAGTGCCAGAAAAACATTGAGTGGGACCCTTCGGTGGCGGTGACGATGTCCAAGTCCCGATCTCACTTTGAACAGGTGGAAAAAACGACTTCTCTTACTGCTCAGCAAGTGGACCTGGCGGTTACTGCGTGTACTGGCAAAGCGTGGCATGTATGCCCCGTGTGCAAAACACAAGTGAATGGCTATTCTCTACAAGTAGCTGTCGAGCAGGAGCAGGACAAACGCGATCTTGCTGCGGAGCTTGAGCCTGCTTTGCTGGCCTGTCAAACAGCAGCTCAGCGTGCTGCAGCAGCACACCGACGTCGACAGCTGGCCGAGGCGGCAGACGGTTCTGGCACTAATAGTGGCGGAGACGGCACCCGTACTGAACAAGACCCGTCTGGGGCTCCTGTTCCAAGCCTCTGGTATAGTGCACCTCCGCCTGCTATTGTTGTTACAACTCCGCCTCCTACTGATTATTTTCGAGCGCTCCGCAGCGCTAGTGATTCTGGTTCCGGCGGTGACGATGCTGCAAGGACCAACATCGAACCCTAGGAATGCTACTTGACTATAGATACGGATCAGGACAGTAATACGTTAAGTAGCCTGAGGAATGAAGGGGAAATATGAGAAAGAGAGCGTTGTGGCTGGAAGAAGGCGCTATGTTCACTACGTAGGTACAAGACAAAAGTGCGTTACTTGAGGCTTGCTTTGAGTTTCATAGAAATTTCAGGACTTATAAAACTGACTACTCGATGAGAGCATGACTTTTCCGCAAAGCAATTAATACACTTGAACCGGCGATCGAATTGGCATTGAATCGCATTTCCTTAATTAATCAGCTCTGTGCTGTCACAACGTTTATATCTTTTCAAATTGAAGAGCATAAAATTGATTGAATATTCGATTACCGGACGCATAATGGGACAAGCCACGCAAACACAACTTGCTGGATAAGGACGATATCAGTCTATCATTCTACATCTGGGTCACAACCTAATACTTTATATTTTATAGAATTTTTTCTTTGCTCAGCGCTTAATTGTTGATGTCAAACCTCAAGAATAAATGGCAATTATGGCCTGTCGTTTAGTCCCCCCCGCTCGCGATGCGAGGAAATGCACGGACAGCACACAATTCGGGTTAATTATTGCTGGGCCTGTGGGGAGACCGAGCTGGTGCTCGACATTCATCAAAATTTAACGATACGCAACCCTTTCGCCTACTGAATAAGTGGAGGGTTTGGACTTTTTTCAAAGTAATGCCAGGTGAAAGGAAAAAAGAAGCATATACCTAACAGTCACTCTATAAGATGAGCTTGCGGTGTAAGCGATCAACTCAGGTATTTTTTTTCCTCCGTTTTTATTTCCTAAATGTATGAATGAACGAATGAATAGCAAGTCAATCTTTACAACAACATAAGTTAGTATCTAATTAATTGCTTGGAGGTCTGGTTCCTCGCTGAGAGTGTTTTTTTCTCAGTGTGGTCCGTCCCACAAGCTTGTTCGATTATTTATCTATCGGAAAGAATACTAAATTAACTGGTCCTTGAGGAGCAAGCAGCGCTCTTTTTACAACATCACTCGCAAGGGAGAGGCCAATGAACATGCTGGGTCGATCATTTCAAGAAGAACGAAGAGCTAAGCACGCTTGGATAGGAAGACCGATGTTGTAATGATAAAAATCTCAACCTCATAATGATTCTTTACAAGAAGACAAAGAGTCCTCGACGGGGGCTTAAATGGACATATCGCGTAATGAATTGCAAGAATCGCAGCTATTTTTTTTTACTTGGAAAACGGGATGAAAGAGTAAAACAAAAGAGGTCTCAGAGCTTCAAAGTTTCTTTTCTTGTTTTCTCCTGTGTTCCGAATCTACTATCTCTCCAAGTTGACACTTTTCCCTCTACTTTGTGGAAGATCATCTTGGGACGAAGAAATAGAAACAAGGACTATTAGGGCTGATCAGTATCATGAATATTTTTGCTGTGTCAAAAGCAAAGATGCCTGATTGAACCTTGTCGCGATGGTGAGCGTTTTTGTCTCGATCTTGTTCTTGATATAGTGATAAAAGCTCGTCGCATCTTGACTACTCATCGTATCTTGACTACCAGACTCGCGACCAGGTCTTCTGAACTTTGTGTTTCTTTCGACCGCGTCTTCCGATCTCTGTGTCTCTTTCGTGGCTGTGCGCATGCTCTTTCTGACTGGTGGACTGTAAGTATTTCAGAATTTATCATTCCCACGTCGATGATGATGATGATGATGATGATTACATTGCATTGCAATCAATGTTGGAAAAGATGTTAGAGGCAAATGAGGAACAGATGATGACGCATTGCAATCATTCGCTCATCCAAGAATCATTCGTTCATCCAATTTTGATAAAGAACATGACGCAGGTGCTCTTACTCTGTTTTTATTACGAAGATCTTTCACCTGATAAAAGTCAAAGTTTTCGATTTCATCACTCTGGATTTACTCCTAATTATCACGCACTAGAAATCAAAATTATATCAATATTGCGTTTCTCTTATCGTAGGTGTCTACTCCGTCGGTTGTCAAATATTATTCTTCTGCATGTGAATTATAATGATATCCTTGTGACTGAGCTTGGCTTTGTTAAGTGTCGTCAAATATTGTAAGAACAAGAACAGCTAAGGCTAACTATCTAAGAAGTAATATGACAAGCATTGTTTTTCTCATGCATTTTCTACAACTATGTACACTCTAAGACTCATTTTTACAACAACGTGAAGGTGGTGTAAGTGAATAACTACAACTACAAAATAAAGGCATAAAGTTAAAGGGGAACAGCATCAAAATGAGGACTACAGCTCTGCCTCTCTTTGCTCTTGGAGCAGGTGCCTTTGCGGCGAATGCAGCAGCTCCAACCATGTCGGCGAGACGTGACGCAGCAATCAGTAAGGCCAAAGCTGTAGCTGCAGAGCTTCGAGATAAGTCCAAGTCCAATTCCAAAGAACTAGAAACGCTTGATGAAGGAATGCTACCTCACGGGACCGGTGGAGTTTCCTATGCGGCCACTGGGTCTGGTGCGCAAGAAACATGTAGTCGGGGACAACAAGAAGTGTCCGGGCCTTCTTCTATATCGGGCTACCAGCAATGCGGAGTGGCATTGATGAGAATGTTATGTGCCACTCGATGTCAATCGAAAATTGTGAAGGTTCTTGGATCGATAGTGATAGTAGTAGCCGTAGTGAGAAATAAGCCTCCACAGTTGTTGAATCCAAGGATGAACCTCAAAGTACAAACGAAAGAAACCGCATGAAAGGCTTCGTTACCTAGAAAATCAACGCATAAGCTAAATCGAAG